TGAGAGCATTGTCCAAGCACTCCTGGAGCTCTGGCAGCCTTGGGGTGGAGACCACTGCCTTGGGGAGCCTGTTCAGTGCCCAACCAGCCTCTAGGGGAAGAACCTTTTCCTGAGATCCACCCTAAACCTCCCCTGACTCAGCTCCAGCCACTCCCTCGAGTCCTGTCACTGTCACACAGAGCAGAGATCGGAGCTGTCCTTGGGGAGGAGCTGCAGAGCCCCATGAGTCTCCCCTCAGTCTCCTCCAGCTGAATCGTCCAGGGGTGCTCCAGAGTGATTTTACTCTGTTTCTGGCTGGTGGTGGTCTTGAGACATGAGATGTGCTTGTAAAGGGCAGGGTCACAGAATCGTAGAACCCCAGACTGGTTTGGGTTGGAAGGCACCTTAAGGCCCATCTTGGTCCACCCTTGGCATGGGCAGAGGCACCTTCCACCAGACCAGGTTGCTCCAGCCCCATCCAGCCTGACCTGAAGCGTGTCCAACTTGCAGGTAATTAGTGCTGTGATTTTAAATGAGCAGCAGCCCTCGATGAGGACTCAGCTGCTGTACAGATGAGTCAGGCTGAACGACTCCGATTATCAGTGCAGTCTCCAGTGACCTGCTGTTCCACATTATCTTTGTTTATTCCTGATAAAGGTGACTGGCTCTGCTCTGCTTTTAAGAACTTTCTGATGGGCTGTGTCTTCTGGCTCAGCCTGTTTTGGTCTTTGTGCTGAAATATGTGTAATTTCAGGCAAAACAGAAAATCAGCTGTTGTTGGACAGTGGGGAATTTGCATCCATGAACGGCTGTGCTGGTATGGAACAGCTTATGGGATTTGGCTCTGAGTTGCTGCCTTGCCCATCTGCATTGATTTAAAACTAGCCCTGAGTCCGAGGTGCTGGTATTTATAGATCCTGCCAATCCCAGCATTAGCAGAGAAGAGTTGTTACAGTTTTATCACCTCAGGACTATGTCATGTGGTAACGTGGTCGTTCCAACCTGTTCTCTCTGGGGAACCAAGTGGGTAAAGGCTTTTTAAATCCACATCTATTTGCATATTGTTGGCATCTTGTGCAGGTCCAGTGTCTGAGATTCCTTCTGCTGAGATTCCCTCTTTGAGGTCATAATTTCCTACTTGCTCAGCTGCCCTGGGTCTCTCGGCCTCCTCCTCTGCTTTTTGATACAGTTGTCAATTGATTCTTAATTGATGGTTATTTTCCAAATGAGAAAAGTGTTGTAGGACTACCTGGCAGATAGAAATGTGTTGCTGAGGCCCAACTGGGCCTGCCCACGAGGGATGGGGTGGAGGAGCCTCTGAAGGGCCACGTTGCTGCTCCCCTTCAGTCTGCACCTCCTTCCTCAGACCTGTCCTGGGAAGAGATGTTTCACTGGGCTTCCCAAAAGAGATGGTTCCGAGCTCCCTGGTTCCCACTTCTGGGAAGACAGACATCCTAAGTAGTCATCACAAAGAGTCTTTTTTGTTTCCTGTTTGTTGAAACCTTCGTTGGTGGAGATATTGTCAGCGGTCATGGAATCGTAGTCATGGAATATCCTGAGTTGGATTGGACCCACGAGGATGAAGTCCAACTCCTGACCCTGCACAGAACACCCCAAAATCCCACCCTGTGCCTGAGGTGTCCAAACAGGAATCACAGGACACCTTGCTCATGGTCTCTGAGGTGACACTTTGATGCTCCCACCAAAGGAGCACGAACAGGTTTGGGGGTTGGATTTCTCCCAGCCCTGACATCACTTACAGTTCTTTTCCTCTGCTTATCACTGTAGCAACTTCTCTGCAGCCTGACTCAAGCAGTCAGGACCGGGAGACTTTCTTTAAAAAAAGGAGTTCTTTTATAAAGAATGGATTTGCTTTACTCAGTTCTTCATTTTTAGATCCATTATAACTGTGTGGTTACTGTGTCAGTGAACTCTTCCATGGTACTGTGGCATTCTTGTGCTCTCACGTTTTAACTTTATTTATAGAGTTTTTCATATCTTCAGGCAACAAAGCATTTTGTCTTTATAATTTATCCCAAGGTGCAGTATTTGTTCTCACTTAGCAACATTTTTAGCTCTTCTGCATTATTTAAACATGCATGGTTTGGGCCTGTATTACTAATTTTTAATTTTTTCCACATTTTTAATTATCTTCCAAAATATTTTCATACATTCTAAAAATATTTTCTAATATATTTGAGGAGCCGATAATATCCTTACTGTTGTCTAATTTTGCCATGTTGGGTTTGGACAAGCACACACTAAGAGATGTGGTTATAACTTTGCTTTTTTCCATCCTTCTTTTAAGGGAAATCTGACCTGGGAGACTGGTTTTCTCAGCTGGATGTTTGCAGCTTGGTGTTTTAGAAAAGTACTTAAAATCCATTTACAGCTTCTCACACAGAGGTGAAAGGAAGGATTTTTGTTTCAAGTCCTTTTGGAAACCTGAAAACCGAATTGCTTGTTTAGCTCTGGGCTGTGATTTAAGCATTTTATCTGGAAGTTCTTAGGGAAAAAAGTCTCCAGGAGAATTTGCTGGTTTTGCTGCCTCCCTTTGGAGCTGTTTGGTAGTAACAACATTAATAATGCTCAGCTTAAGCACCACTTATTTGGGCTGTTGTGGCTTGTAGAAACATGGAATTGTGCAGGGAAAGGAGTGTGATAGAGCCTTCTCTGTGGTGTGGCATGGTTTGAATTGCAAATGCAGAGAAGAGGGAATGGTCACTGTGGCACGTGCCTGGTGTGGGCAATGTGCTCCACATTAAATATTCCTTAGGAAAGTTTACAGTCCAATAAAACTACACTAAAATGTAGGAGCTTCAGCAGCTCTCGTGTGCCCATGGTTCCATGGTGGATTTGCCAGCCTTTCTGGTCTGGGCAGTGATCAAACAGAGGTCTGGTATCCTGAGCTGCTCAACCTCTGGATATCCCAGGGAAATTCCCCCCAGGCATGTGCAGACAAGTGCCCATGAGGCTGCTCCAGCCATCCCTCCTCTGGGAACATTGTCCCAGCCCCAGTGCCCGTGTTCCCTCTTTGCTATTCCCTGTAAAACTGAGGCTTCATCCTTAAACACAAAGTCCTTTTCCATGTTGGAGTTAGTCAATATTGCTTGTGGAGTAACTTGTGCTCTGTCTCTGCAGTGGGATATTTGCTTGTCTTAACATGGAATGTTGATGATACTCCCAGACCAGCTCTGGGGTGAAAAGAGGAGTGTTTGCCATGTTGCACTGGGAGAATGGGTTGGAATGTTATGTGAAATGTTGTATTTCCAGAGAGAGTGGTATGATTTGGTTTATTTTTATCCTGGAAGTAAAATTTCACACTTCTGGGCTGTTTACTCCTTTTAATCTTTTAATCTTAAGCTTGATATATTGCTGTATATTGGCAGCTGGTGACTGGGAAGGTTGTTACTGGTTATCAGAGATGTAAATGAGGATTTCATACTCAGATGTTACTTAATTGCAGATTTTCTCTTTGAGACTTCCCTTGTTCCAGACCCTTTCAGATCCCCTACACTTTGAAGGGAGGCTGGTGGAGGGTAATAAAATATTTTGTGGCATTAACACATTTAGAATATTTCAGGAATGAGTAAGAAAAAGAGGCAAATACCAAACTTTGGGATAATCCTTTCATCTCATTTTGACTTCTGTTATATCCTGTCATTTACAATGAAAGGCAATTCATGCTCGTACACTGAACTTCCTTGGCTGTATTATATTGAGAAGGTGAATTTTGGAACTCCACTTTGGGGAAAAAGAAGTTACAATGGCTGGAGGAACCTGTCAGAGCAGGAGAGCATTCACGGGGTCATTCCTTGACACTCACAGGATGAAAAGTCATGGAATGGGAACATGTGAATGCAGCCATCAGGTTTCTCTTCCCTGCACAGGGATGATCCTCCTGTTTCCACTGAGAGACCAGGGATGATCCTTTAACCTGCAGTGACTGAAGGATGTGTGGAGAGAGGAGCCTGATTTTCTCCAGGAGTTTCAGTCGCGTTGGAAGAGTTTTTAGTTGGCCTTAGTTAAATGATAACTTGTACATATTGTTAGAAAAACCTTCCCTTTTTTCTTTTTTGTTAAAATCTGATTTATGGGATGGTGGTGACCCTGCTCGTGGTGCAGGTGGTGACATTATCCACCCCCTGCCTGGCCGTGTTGTGTCCTGTAGCTCCACTGCTGTTGCCCAATTGGAATGAAAAAATTCCCACTGCCATGTGCTAATAATCTGTTTGATGACACAGTTGAGTGAACAATGTTTTGGCAGCAGGGCTGAGTGAACTACACACCTTTTCCTCCTTCCCGATTCCTGCCGCTCCCTCTGGTGTGTGGGGTGGGAACTGGGAATATCCTTGGGATCTGGGAAGGCAGGATGCTGTTGATCCGTAAAAGAAGGTGGATTTACCTGTGTGTCCTGCATTGAAGGAGGTAAATGAGCCCTGATGGGGAGTTTTTCCTGCCAGTTAGTAAATATGAAAGTCAGGCAAGTGCAGGACATTCTGGGTAACAGACTCTTGGAAAAAATATTGTCTCTCAGTAGAAAAGAAAGGAGAAAACAAGAACGTTTTCTCAACCTGACAAATTTGGAGCCTACACATGTGGGTCTTAAACATACCTGTTCCCAGGAGCTGGAGACTGGGTATTGCTTTTAGGGTGATGTTTAGGGTTTTTAGGGTAAGATTCAAAGTTTTTAGGTTTTAGCACATGTGCTTCATACAGTAATGTCAGCATAAGGGTGTTTCAGCTAAGCAAGAAATGGGAAAAGAATGAACTGGAGGGTAAAAAGGGTTTAAAAAAAGTTGTTTGAGCAGGGCACTGCACTGGGAACTCTGAGTTTCAAGGACTTTGTTTGTTATTAAGGGATATCCTAAATTACAATTAAACTGCTCGAACCTGGAATTTCTGGTCTAACTTTTTCAATGATCCACATCACTTTAACATTTGTATAATTAATTTTGGAGGGGTTTTTAGGCTTGATTTCAGTAACTTTACGCTTGAGTATGACAGAAAGAAATACCAGGAGAAGCAAGAATAAACCAGTTTTCCAACGTCTGCGTTGTTCCTGTGTTTAGGTGGCTGTCAATGCACACATCCCTCCGGATTATCTTCTTAGGATCTGTGAGAGGCTTGGACCCCTCTTAGACAAGGAAATCCCCCAGAGTGTTTTAGGGGTGCAGACTTTGCTGGGTGTCGGGCGCCAGTCTCTCCTGAGAGCAGCAAAAGGTAAGAGTCTCCATTGATTTGAGCTTGAATCCCATTTTGATGATCAAAAAACCCTTTTGTTTCGATTCATGTTGTGCTATCTGCGTGTTTGATGAGCCCTGCTTTGTCTCCTATGCTTGCCAGCTTTCTTGTTGCTAAAATGCAGTTGTTGCTGGCCCTGTTGGATATATTTTCTGGGGTTGAAAGTGCCATTTTAAGTAATTCTTGTCTGATCTTGTTACTTGCTTTCCCTGCCCCCTTTCCCCAGTGTGTTGGACTGGTGGTTGTGTAAATGATGTGAACTGCATGAGGGGTTTGATCCATCTGAAAAATGCCATTTTTTCATATACATTTGCACACACCAGTGTCTAAAATCACCCAGCAGTCGATGTGTTTTGCTGGGCAATTTTTGAGCCTTATTTCTTCCATGATTTGATTCCCTGGCTGTGCAGACACAGGACAAGGTGGGATTTGGGGCAGCATATAGGGCGTGGGAGAAGGTGAGGCTGATTCTTCAGTGACAATTCCTGCTTGCCCTTGCTTAGAGTTAATTTGAAAGCTCCCAATCCTTTCATGAACAGTCCTGTTCCCTTTAAAAAACTGCTCTGCTTGAGAGAATGATCCTCAGAGCGGTTTTGTGTTAAAACTAAACAGATCTGAGAGCCATCTGCTATTGGAGAGTGATTTCTCCCTTCCCTCCTCACTCCATGCCCCTGACACTTCCTCCCTGGAGGAGCCAGAACTTCCTGGATCCTGTGATGTGCTGATTCAGAGAGCTGAAATGTTGCAAAATTTGTTGCAGTGAATTAAATGAGTTGGTGGAAAAGGATCAGAGGGCTGGAGGTGACACAGGAGCATCATCCTGGCAGAGGAGGAGGGATGGGTCAGCAGGACCTTCCTGTTTTGGTGGCACTGAGCACTTAATTCCCTGCATCCTGTGAAGTCACACTGATGCTAACAAGGACTGTGGCATTCTGCTGATCCATTGGATGTCTCCTGGAGGGCTGTGCTGTTTGCAAACACCCAGAGTTTTGGGACTGAGTCTTGTTTTGCCTGTGCTTTGATGTAATTGGGTGGTGAATTTCAGGTTTGCAGAGAAACATTCCTTCATTTCACATTCAGTTTGCAAAAAACAGCAGCAAAACATGGAGAGAAAATAAACATTTTTATTTATGCAGGGAGACAGAACTTCTGAGGTGGATTGATCTGTTTTGGGAAGTCTTGAGTGCTGTTTTTAATGAGTATCATTTAATACTCTGGGCTGCAGTTTGGAGTTTAATCAGCAGGTGCTCTCAGGGGTCTCTGAGTCCCCTGAGCTCATGCACTTGATGTCCAGAGATGTACATGGTGCTACACAGACCCACCAACCTGTGGCACTGTTCTTCTGTTTCACTACTTATTCCCCGTGGAAGCTCATTCCTCTCCTTCCAGATGGCCAGAAATGGAAGAAATCCAGGTCTGATTTTTGAGGCACTCAGAAAAATCACTATTGTTCTAGAGAGGAGGCTCTCCGAGGCCAGTTGGCAGCAGAGAGCTGGAGAGTCTTTAAAGAAAGCAGTCTTCACTTTAAAACAATGATTTTTTGGGGGGGTTGGGGTGCAGAGGACAATCTGAAAAGAGGGCATGTTGCCACCAATTGCAGGAAAACAGATTTATTGGAAAAAACCCTCACTTTTCCACTTTCAGGGAGCAAATGTGTGTGTGTATTCTCAAATGTACAGTTCCTAAGCAGAGGTGCTTTCAGTGTTGGGATTGCAGGACTAAAAACATGGCAAAGCTCAGGCCTACCTCAATACAAAATGCACTCACTTTTTAAATTCTTTTTCTTTCCATCAATTTAGACTCACTACCCACCCAAATTAACCAAAAAGAAGTTGAAATCATTTACAGTGATACTGCTTAGGAACTAGAAATCAGAGTAGCTTTAAGTGTTAGGTCTCTGGCAAAATGTTTAACAGGGCAGATCTTATTCTGGGGTGCTGGGAGCGGTGCTTGATCTCCTGATTATTTCATTTACTGATGATTTTCTGTCCTCTTTGTGGTGCAGACTTCAGACACACGCTATGGAAAGGCTCTGCCTTTGCAGCTCTACACAGGGGCCGACCCCCAGAACTCCCCGTGAACTACGGGAAGCCACCAAACGTGGGTGAGTTTGGAACTGCATAAGGTGGTGGGGTTTTTTTCCCCCCCTCTGTGTATTTATTCCTGTCCTGCTGAAAGTTGCACTCGCTGACTGAAACACTGCTATGGGTTTGCATTAATGTGTTTTTTAACATCTCGCTGTGAATTAATCTAAAATAGATTTCTCCCTGAAAGTAGAATGATTTTTGTGTTGTTCAGGCTTGGATCTTCCACAGTGTGTGTAGACATGTTTTGCAAAGCTTTGCATGTCAACCTGTTTGGAGGGCAACAGGTTTGAGTATCTTTTTATGATACACCTACATAATATATTCATATGTTTATAAAATTGGCTAGGCATGGCCACAGGAGCATGGAATCATGGAATCATCAGAGGAATCTTAGCCAGAACAAAGTGTCTGGCTCCCAGGAAGCTTTTTTTGACTCAAGAATTCCATTTAATTTGATTATGACAGAAAACAGACTGCTTGCAACATCCCTCTCCTAAAAGGAAATAATCACCAAAGCAACATTTGTGTTACTTCAGACTCAGTTGTCCACACAGATAAAGAACTTGTGTAAAAATATGTGGGCTCTCAGCTGACATCTCATCTCAGAGCTGCTCTGTTTTATTTAAACTGAAGTGTTTTCCTTGTATGGTCTGAACTTTGGTTAACTATTTTTATAGCAAACAAGTTTGGTTCTTGCAGGCATAAATGTAAATCTTGGTTTGATTCTTCTTGGAGTATTTTATCTCTGTGCAAATGTTTTGCTGGTTTGTCAGTGAATCCCTTCTTTTGGAGGTATAGGGATGGTGATGGCAATTTTCTGGTTTTACCATATCTTTGTATTTGTTATTTTAGGCTGGTTCTGCAGTTGCTTTACTGTGAGCAGTTGTGCTGATGGATTACTAATAACCTAGAGTGGAGATTTATAGCACACAACTTCTACAGCTGTATTTCTGTATGGATTCTTGGATCAGTTCTTTCATCAGATTGTGTGTTTTTGGAAGATGTGGTATTATTAATGAACCAACCTGGCAGACTGGGCTCCAGCATTTGTCATGTTTTCACGGCAAACATTTGTGCTGCTTGCTTGGTGATTATTTAGTGACTTAAAGAACAGAATAATTTCTTGTGTTTGGTGTTTTCCTAATTGCTTTTTTAATAAATGCAAAGCTATTATATGGAAAAGGGTCTTTTTTAGCCAGGAATTAATTTTTATAAGTACTGATTCCTGGAAGAATACAGGAATACAGCCCTGCTTGGTGTAGCTACATAAACTACTAGTAAGAGAAGAAAATGTATATGAAGATTAAAATAAGGAGTTGGGTATATTTAAGGCAGGAGTTTGGTTTTAGGATTCCTTGTTGTTAATCCTGAAGTCGAAGTCACAAAATTCTGTATATATTTGTGCAAAATGGGTGTTTTTTTCCTGCTGAGTGGTGCCAGTCAGTGTGTCTTGTTTTAAATACAAGATGAAGAAGAGTGTTTGACCTCCTTGGGATTTTGGCATAACCATGAATTCCCACACTGTGCTCACTCAGTCAGAGGGAGTTTTCTGGAATTACTTGCTGAAGGAAAAGACATCCATGGTCATGTGTGTTCAGGAGTGGGACGAGATGATTGTGCATTTACCTGTGTGAACTGGTAAATAAGATATAGAACGAGCAGCTAGAAGGCTTTCTATATAATTTCCCTTCCAGTGATAAGGATTTAAGTTTTCCACCATGAGTGTGTTGTTCTGCTGGGAGAACAGGATCACTGATGGTCCAGCTGGGATCAACTGGGAGGGTCCAGTTGGAAGAGTTGGTAGCTGCAGTGGTTTGCCTTTCCATGTGGTTGGGGTTGGTTGGGATGGGACTTTGGGGTCAGTACTGCAAAATAAAAGGTCTGGTGGAACTGGAGCAGGAAACTGGTGTTGCCTTTTCCCAGCATGTTTGTGCAGAGCTGGGAATCTTCTGGCTGAGGGAGTCTCCGAGAAAGTGCTGACCTGTGGAAGTTGTTCCCAGGGATGTGGTGTCTGTGTGTTGAGTCTGTGGGGATCTGCTGGGGGAGGAGAGGGAGGGAAAACACTGGCAGAGCTTCCTGCTGCCAGGACAACCCGGGGAACACTGGAGATGGTCTGGTCGAGCCTTTCTGGACGGGTTTTGCAGTCGTGGGATTTTTAGAGCTCCGTTTGTGCTCTCCCAGTCAGAAAGTGGAAAGACTGGTCATGCAGTACCTCAGCACTGGGAGTTATTCCCCTTTGATAAACCTGCTTTTAATGCTCCTTCAGTTTGTCAGAGCTTTGTTTTTTGGAGGCAACTCAAAGCAGATCAAAAGGAAGGTTGTTTTGACTCTACGAGCTGCTCTAACCTGAGGATGAAAATCTTTCTGTAGGTAACTTATTAGTGAAAATAACACAGAATTTGGAAGCAGAAAGCACAGTTCCAGTGAACAAGCATTTGAACTGGATGGAAAGTCACAGTCAAAGTGATCCAGCTACCTTGGCTGTGCCAAAGAGCAGCCCTGGGATGAGGTCAGGAATCGATGGTGTCTCTCATGCTGTAAATGAGTTCCATGAGGTCAGCGGCTCCCAGAGCTGGAACACGTCGTGCTTTCAGTGCTTTTCCTGGGTCCAGCTCTCTTTGTGGCCACTCTGAGAAGATATTTTCCATATGTGAGCCAACTGTATTTAATTCCAAGCATTCTTATGAAATCCTGACCTGTGTTTCTCCCACACTCTGTGAGTGGTACCCGATCCTTGCTCATTCCAGCCCTGCTATGAGGGCAAAATTTAAGTCCTCATTCCAAAGTTACAGTGCTTATTGCAGAGGGTAAAACAGTCTGATGTGAACTCATCACCCTTGAGAAACTGGTTTTAAACCAAACATTTGCACCCGTTTCCTGTTTTCTAGTTTTCCTTGCAAAAAGTGGAGCAACACAAGGGTGTGTAGGGAGAGGAGGAATTCAAGCAGGTGCTGCTCGGTGACTTTGCCATCTGAAATGCTTGAATTCCTTCTGAAGTTGTGACTTAACTTTGAAATTTGTGCTGTCTGGTGATTGGTTTTTAAACTTTCTTTACACTGGTGGGTTGTTGTTGCAGGCTTTGGGGTTTATCCTTCCTAGGTGAGCTTTCTTTACAGGGGTTTTTACATTTATGCTGTCACCTCTGGTAGAATGTGAGGTAAATTGTGATCAATGAATTGCTGATGTACAGCATATCTAACTTGCATTAAGAATTCTTAATTTTCCTGAAAGTGTGATTTTCCAGGACCGAGAACTGTGGAACATAAAAAGAAAAATGCCTGTATTTTACAGGTTCTAGTTGGAGGAGCTGAAATGGCCCTTCAGTTTGGGGACAAAACTAACTTTTCTTATCAAGAAGACAATATCCACTCCCTTTTTATGTGAAATAACTGTCTGGAAAGTTTTTCCTGGCAGGGAATATTGAGAGGGGGTGGACTTGACATTTTTTACACCCAGTATGGCATGAAATACATCACTTAATTAGATAGGTTGCTAAAATCTTTTAGGGTTACTAAGTTGCTGTTTCTCTTGGTGGGAGTTGTTGGTTTTTAATGCTTTGGGGCCTTAGGGGTACAAGGACTTCATTGTGCTGAAGAAAGGAAACTTCACAGGGATTTTTGTCATGTGGGGGTAATTCCCTATTTAGATATTGTGTATTAATCTTCCTAAGAATTGGAATTGGGGATGTTTTTTTGTTCCTTTGAAGCAGTGATAGTTTTTTTGCCCAGAGATGCTGTTGCTTTGATAAAGTCCGTTACTCCTCACGGCACAACAATAGTTCTGGATGTCTCTTGGTTGAAGCATTTCATAAACAGGGCTTTTTATTTTGTAATTATCCATGGGAGATTGAGGAGTTTTGTCCTCATTGTGCAAATAGGGAAATAAACACAGGAAAAAAAAAAGTGAAATCACTTTCATATCCGCTGGAGCTGAACTGATTGCAAGGCTGGGAATCCACCGGAAAAGTGAGGTGCCAAGACTGGGATTTAGGTGCCTGAATATTCTTTATACCTTTTAGTGTTTCCTTCATGTGATTTACACCAAAAATCAGTGGTAAATGTTCAGAAGGATTGCAGGGAGACACAGCAAATATTGTGATTATTGGGAATATTTTGAAATACCTCTTTGATTCACACAGTTCTTTGTGTGGTTAAAACATTATTCAGAGCTGTTTGAAATTACTTAAAGGCAGATACACTGTTATTATGTATTTAAATATATAAATATATATGTATTTAAAGGCTTTAAGCATTGAAAAGCACAGCAGAATCACCAGGTTGCTGAATGACTCCATCCCTCTGTTGGCACACAGGGTCCACAGGGTGGGGGGAAAGGGAGGTTTAATATTTTTAAATATTTAGCTTTTTAACTGTCACACTTACATAGTAAATAAAATAATGTATAGGAAAACCTGAGGCACCTTTGTAGAGCATTTAGCACTGTGGGATCTCTGTGTTAGAGGTGTGAAAAAAGGTTAAAAATTTCAGTTTTACTTTGTTTGAGGAGACAGTTTTGTTTAACAGCCCTGTGTAATGTCAGGCATCAATTCAATAGTAGGTAGACAGTAAATTAATTTGCTTTAGTGTGTTTTGCTTTTTAGTGCTGCTGAATATGTGTTTTTACATGCAAAGCAAATATTGACTGAAGGTGAGGTTATGCTGGAGCCTGATGGCTTTTGCAAGTGTCTTTTATGCAGCTTTTTTCCCTCATGTGTTGTGTTTCTAGTACATTGAGTGATGAAAAATAATCTAAATTTCCAAATTTGAGACAAAAATACTTTCTGTAAAGCTGAAATAAATTTATTTTTTAATAGGTGCTTCAATGGTACAAATTTGCACGAGTGAGTTATGGGTTTGTAACCCTTTGAAATGGGACTTCTTGACTTTGTAGATTTTTCCTTTTTTTTATCATATTCCATAATCTTTTTTGTGGAGATTGGGAATGATATGATGAGACAATTAAGGAATGGGTTGAGTTTTTCACTGTACTTTTAAACTAAGGGGTTGAAAGGCACTGAGGAGCTTCGTGGTGCTCCTGTGAAGCCCAACCTACTTCAAGGTGCAGGAGGCAAGATAAGGAGTTTCTCCAGGGGATCTGCTATCACAGACTCCACAAACCAACCAGCCCAGCAGTGTTAGAACCTCAAGTGCCATTGGAAAAACCTCTCCAAACTTTGGGGTTTAAAGTTCAAGTGCTACAAATGAGGATGGGTTGGGGAAAATAGTAATGAGAGAGGGTTGGTGGAATTAAATACCCCAAAACGAGCTCAAATTGTGCATCAGATCAAAGATGGGCTTTTTTACGTGGTGTTTTTGTGGATTTAGATTTCAGGCTGTTCTTGGAAGGATTTCAGTCTGTAGCAGTGGGAAATAATTTGTTATTGCAGTTTTTTCTTGTACCTGCCATTCTTTTGATTGGGACATTCCCATCAGTGCCACATATTTCATATTCTTCAATTCCTCAGCCTTAGGAATGCAGTGATGTTGATTTCGAACACGTGGAAGACCTTTGACCATTCCATATGATCTAGAAGCTATTCCAAAGAAAGATTTTTATCACCAAAAAAAGCACTGAAAATAAACAATTATTATATTATAAAACTAAATTTCTTGTAATTGTTATTAGGAACATCTAATATCCATAAAGCAGATTTCCCTAATCCATATAGAGTAGCTGTATCCGTACCTGTTCATGAATTGAAGATTGGAATAACTCCCACTTGTGGTAGGAACCTTTAATTTTGCTGTAATTTTTGGTGAGGAAGCAGGTGCAGCATGTGGTGCTGCATTGAAAGGCTTTATTAGGAGTGGTATTTCTTTTTAGGACATTATACAGAACATTCTGATGAGGTGGAAGAGACTCAGATTTATAGATTATAATACTAAAGTTGTTAAGGAACATTATATTTGATTTAATACTCATTTACATTGAGTTCTAGGGAAAAATTCACGTCTCAGTTTTCTTTTTGCTTTGTTTTTCTCTCCCAGTTCACATCCTGTCTGCCAGGCAATTAACTGGATGTGGCCGTTTCAGCCACTTGTTCCCAACATCCACCTACCAACACATGAAGATGCATAAGAGGATTTTGGGGCACCTCTCATCTGTTTATTGTATCGCCTTTGACCGCAGTGGGAGGAGAATTTTTACAGTGAGTTTAAAAACTGGATTTTTTTTTTTTTTTTTTTTGAAGACTGCTTTGCTTTGTTTGATTTCCTTGTTTCATGAGCCTCTTGGTCACTGATTGAGATGCAGACACAACTTACTTCAGCTGCAAGTTAGTTTTATACTAAATTTACCTTCCAGAATTTGTGATCTGTCAGTGAATACGTGACTATTAATTTAAGATTTTCTCCAGAATACAGTAGCATTTAAAAATGAGTAGATTTTTCAAATTAATGCTGCATTTTTAGCTGTTAATGTTAATCCCTGTGCACGGAGTAACAGGACAAGGGGGAATGGCCTTTGGGTGAAGGGGGCAGGGTTAGATGGGATACTGGGAAGGAATTCTTGGCTGTGAGGGTGGAAAGGCCCTGGGCACAGGTTGCTCAGAGAAGCTGTAGCTGCCTCTGGATCCTTGGAAGTGTCCAAGGCCAGGTTGGATGGGGCTTGGAGCAACCTGGGCTGGTGGAAGGTGTCCTGCCCATGGCACAGGGTGGAATGAGATCAGGTTTTAAGGTGCCTTCTGACCCAAACCATCCTGTGATTCCATGATTTTATAAAATGGAAATCCTTGACTCCACAAGGTGATCCCCAGACTCATATGGACATAGTTCATAGTCATAGAATCCCAGACTGGTTTGGGTTGGAAGGGACCTAAAAGCCCATCCAGTCCTTGGGCAGGGACACCTTCCACTAGCCCAGGTTGCTCCAAGCCCCGTCCAACGTGGCCTTGGACACTTCCAGGGATGTGGCAGCCACGGCTTCTCTGGGCAACCTGTGCCCAAGGCCTTTCCACCCTCACAGCCAAGAATTCCTTCCCAACATCCACCCTCACAGTAAAGAATTTATTCCTAATATAACAGCGGAATCCCACTGAAGCGCTTCCGGCACATTCGCGGTGGCGGAGATCCCTGCCCGCCCGCAGATTTAGGTGATCTTTGGGAATGTCTGTGTCCCCAGGGCTCAGATGACTGTCTGGTAAAGATCTGGGCGACGGATGACGGGCGCCTGCTGTCCACCCTGCGGGGGCACTCGGCCGAGATCTCGGACATGGCCGTGAACTACGAGAACACGCTACTGGCCGCGGGCAGCTGTGACAAGGTGGTGCGGGTGTGGTGCCTCCGCACCTGCGCCCCCCTCGCCGTCCTGCAGGGCCACTCGGCCTCCATCACTTCCATACAGGTGAGCAAGCACCAGGTTTGAGTTAAAATGGTAATAAGGGATTGGCAGTTGGAGATAAAATTTATCATTTCTTCTCTGGCGGCGGGGGTTCGTCCCGACTCGACGGTGTTTTTCTTGGCAAATTCACTGCTGCTTCATCCTGCTCCTTCCATGTGCCTTTAGCTGTGGGATCCCACTGCTGCTCCCTTAGGTCTAGAAAATGATAGATCTGGTGCTCTCAGTGAGCCAAGGAGTCGTGTTTGGCATCTTTGGTGCTGGGCCTGGCACAGCACCTGAGCCGACAGTCCTGTGTTCATAGAGAACATTTATTTTTCGGAAGAATCAGCTAAAATTCCTTATTCCACATTTCTTGTTTCTTTGTTATCTTAACTTGTACCGTAAGGAGCTGTTCTGGGTTTTGTAGCAAGCACAGATTTTCTTTAAAAAACAGCACAACTGCCAGAAACCTCCAAAAATCAAAATTCCAGGATAAAAAAAACCCCATTCCCTGCAATTTGGCAGGTGATGCATGTTAGAGGGTAGAGTGAGGGGGGGCTGTTTGGCTCAGAATCTCTCTCTTCAGGAGCTGTGCTTCCTTGGATTCAGCACAGGCTTCTCCATCATGCCAGTGGTCCCTCAGGAGCTTTTTTTCTCCCCCTCTTCCCTACACTTCCAATTTTGTCTGATTTCAGCCATATTAAGGTGATTGTTTTGGAAACGTATTTTACAACCTGGTTTTATAATTGTTATATTACTTATTTACATATGTGTGTGTATATATATATATACACACACATATATATGTTCCTCACAAGCTTTTTGTAAAATTCTGATCTTTTAGAATATAATCAGTGATGGCTTTTTGAGGAAACAGTGCAAACAATGCAAATAGAGGAAACAATTCCTCTATCAAATTACCAAATAACCAGAGGATTAAAGGCATTGCTGCAGTTATGAAATTAAGAATAAAAAGCTTTCCCGCTCCTTAGAGAGGCAGAGGAGACATTCAGGAAGAGGGAGAGAGTGGAGATCCTGCTGTGCTGCTGTTCTTCATTGGGATGCAGGAATCATTTTATTTGCCATGTTTGATCCAGTTCTCTCCTAGAAAGAACTATTTCCTCGTTTTAATACCCCATTAAAAGAGTCTGGGCTTGTTTCATTTCTCCAATTTACTCTTCTATGTGTGGTGGAAATAAAGAATTCCTGCTCAAAATGTGGGTGTTTTCCATTTCCATCAGGTTGATTCTTATGGAAGTTCAGATTCTGTGCCTATCCCTGCTCCCTGTTCTCCTGGGCAGAAAGCTCATATGCGAGTGAAAAAAATTCTCTACAGGTTTCCAGCATGAAAGAAGAGAAAGAAATCAGCTGGTTTAATTGTTCCAACTTTATTTTTAGTTCTCTCCAGCAAGGAAAGGAACAACACGATACCTCACCTCCACTGGTGCCGACGGAACAATCTGTTTCTGGCAGTGGCATGCGAACACCATGAAATTTAAGTAAGACTCTTTAGATAATTATAATTATTTTGACTCGAGAAGGGATTTATTTTGAGTTTTGGCCTGGAGAGGAATGCTGAGATAATTAAATAAGGACATTCTCTTGCTCAGTAAACTGGGGTGGGGGGAGGGCAGGGGTTCTGTGGCGTTGGAACCCAGAGGGGAGGCAGAGATTGGGGTTGTTATTTCTGGGTTTTGTGCCTTGCAAGGCAAAGCTGTGGAAGAACTTCCAGCTTTTGTGTTTAGGAGTAAGTCTTTGTCCAAAATGGCAGAAGAAATAATTTGCTTTTAATCAGAAGAACATGCATATGCAAATGTCACCAAACCCATATTTAATAGGGAGTAAATGCCATCAGATGAATGGTTTGGCAGGTTCTGTTTTAAATAGTTTTTAATTGGTGAGTATCATGATAAATCAGTTAAATAGTCTTTTCAGTTTAGAAAATTATGGTTTTCTTATTCAACTAAGGACAAAAATGCCTCAAATGAAAAATTCTAGGAAACTTAGGTGAGAATTGTGATATAAAGAGATTTAAGGTGAGCATATTGACCCCAGCCTGAGCTACAGGGAGATGTTTTTGTTGAATAAAGCAATAAAAAGTAAAAATGTTGTGTTGTTGCACGTAGGGATCGTCCTGTAAAATTTGCAGAGAGGTCCAGGCCTGGTGTTCAGATCTCCTGTTCATCCTTCAGTTCTGGTACGTGTCCAGTCAGGTATTCCATGGACTTGGGTCCTTTGGTGGCAGTTCTGCTACTTCTCTTTAAATACAAATACTGTTAAACCCTTTTCCAGTTAATTTTAGCTCTGTCACATTGAGATTGCTTGAAATTTTCCATGCCAAGTGTCTGCCTCAAGTTGCTTTTTCTCTTTTTTCCTGTAATTTAAGCTAAGATATCTTGACCAACTCCAAGGCTTGAAAGTCTCCTGTTTTGCACATCAGAGATATTTTTTATTTTTATACTTTTTTATATTTTTACAAAGAAAATTCCTCATGAAATTTACCTTTTTGAAATGGAGAACTCTTCTAGAACCGTGTTCCTTTCTTCAATCCAGAACTCCTGAAATAACTAAACCCATTTCAAATGCAGTACATTACACAATAGTGCCCTTCTTGGGCAATATTGGAAAGAAATTGCAATAAAAATGAGACTAAGAATGTAAGTTTGTTACAAGCATTTTTAAACACTTTTTTATCACAGTGGAAAAATTCAGATTAGGGAAACTGAAAAGAGCAAACAGTCACTTAATAAAATTGAGTTGGTTTGGCTTTGAAGTGTAATTTTGTATATAAATGGAATGTACTTTCAAAGGTGTTGGCTATCCTTTGAAAATGTATTACTTAAGGAGCTTTTTCCCAGTTTCTCAGCAATCCCTGACTCCTGATTCAGCAATAATTTCTCTGATTTGTGTCAAATAGAATGGAAGATGCACTTAAATAATTTATTTTATATTTAGCAGTTTGTGTTAAAATTTTCTGTTTAAAACTAGTTTGCTGCTTTGACGTGAAAGCAGCAGATTCAGATAAACAAAGTTAAAAGAAGGTATTCCTTGGATGACTTTTCTTCTCATGGAAAACTCTCTGTCTTAGGTGGCATGTTCATTGCAACAGGTAGCACTGACCACGTGATAAGAATTTATTATTTGGGCTCAGAATCTCCAGAGAAAATGGCTGAGCTGGAATCTCACACGGTAAGAGGGAAAGCAGGACATAAATCTTTTTTTTCCCCCCTTTACCTGATTTCAGGAACTTGGGTTTTTACATCCTGTTTGATTTATTAACTCTCTGGAAGTTATTTGGCTCTCAACACTGTGGTGTTTAAATGCCTGGGAATTTGGGGGATGGTTGTTTTTAAGTCCCTCTGAGGCAAGAAGTTTGTGCAAAATATGCTTTATATATTTTATTCCCCCAGAAAACTGAGGGATCAGGTGATTTTCCCATATTCTTGAAAAAAGTCTGGGTTGGAATGAGGAATTAAAGCACTTTTAATACACGATGTTATTTTTTTTCCTATTGAATTTACTGCTGAGTAATTAACTTTAGTTGTGACCACAATTTCACATAACAAGAAAAACAAAGTAATTCGGGTTTTAGTCAAAGTTTGGATCATGAGGGAAATTTCCTTTAGAAAATCAAACTTAGGAGCATCTTTTTTCAGGTAATGCAGAAGGGTTCCCATAAAAATTCAAACTTCCCACCCTAACAGCATTTTATGGATTAGGCCTGAGATCTAAACTGATTCACTGAACTTAAGTGGGAGTCTTGGGTGTCCCATTTAAATCTCCAAACCAACACATCTAACAAGTATTTTACTCACAAAACAGTGTTTTCTGTATTGAGCAGGTTTGGAAGGAGCTGTAATTCCTTTAAGTTTTTTAAATCCACTCTTAATCCTGCAGACAACAAATCCCAGATGGGTTATCAGAGCTGGAGACACCAGTGGGAGTAAGGATACAAGTGCCTGGAGCCAACACAAGTGTTTAGCAAATTAAAAAAAAGGCAAACTCATGTCTGAAACATAACATTTGTTTCTCAGCAGTTTGTGAGTGGAAATAAAGCCAAGGTTTGCATTTTTTAGATTAGATTTTTTTTATGCACTTTAATATTAGCTTTAAAAATTGCAGGAAACCATCACCTCTCTGAAGTTTTCTATTTGAGTGTTTGACACAGTAAGTCTGGGGAAGTTTTAGCTTTAAATAAAACTTCTCTATACGTGAATTTTTAAGACTATTGTAGGAAAGATACAACTTGCTAAATAAAAACTAATCAAGAATCAACTGATTGAGAACTTTTAGGGTGAAAGTTTCAGCCTACAAAGCACTTACTGCTGTGTTTTCCTCTTCAGGACAAGGTGGTTGCAGTCCAGTTCTGTAACAATGGGGACAGGTGAGTGGCTGTCCTGGAGTTTGCACCTGAGAGTGTTGCTATTTAATTGCCCAAAGAACATTTCATGGAAAATTTGGCACAACAGGAAAACTGCCTGTGGGCTCTGATTAATCCTGGACAAACTATTTAAGTGTGTTGCAAGATGTGTGTCATGATCACAAGCTCCAGCTTGTTGTCCTCTGCTGTAACAACAAAAACCTTCTGTAATTATGCTTTTAATTTGTTTTCCCTTTAAAACAGCAAATTGGAACCCAAATTTTGTGTCCTTTTTTATAAGAATGTCTTAGTTCCCAGGTAACTTCCACAGAGGGATTTACTTGTGGAGTAAGAGCACTGTAATAAATGTAGTTTAAAGCAAAAGTTAGAACTTAATGTAGGTGGTTTTTTTCCAGCTTTTGTTCCTATTTCCTTATTTTCCTGGGCAGGAGGTATAAGGGATGTGTGGAAGCAGGAGCCTTCCAAACTGTAGCTTTGCACCTGTATTTGGAGATCTTTGTCACATGAAATTATGGGAGAATGTGGTGCTGTAATTGTGCTATTAGTTCTTCTCAAGCCATGTCAGAGGGTTTAGGTCGTGTCATCACTGAAAATTATATGCTGCAGTGATGCTTTGAATGAAAAAGTAGTTTCCTTTTTATTTTAATACAAAGTAGTAAAAATAAGAGGAAAATAAACTTGTCGAAAGCATTTTAAAACTCTTTTCTGTCACAATGAAAAGATTCAGATCAGGGAAACTGAAAAGGGGCAAACAATCACTTAATAAAATTGAATAGATTTGACTTTGAAGTGTAATTTTGTGTAAAATATATGCTTTTAAAGGTGTTGGCCATCCTGTGAAAATGTATTACTTGAGGAGCTCTTTTCCAATTTCTCAACAGAAATGATTTCCGTAGCATTGATGGCCAAACACTCTGATGTGGTTAAATACATTTGCTGGATGCTTAAAATTTTTAAACCAGGAGGAGTTTAAAAATTAAAATATTCATGTTCAGCTTCCCAGTCAGAGCTACCTACTTGTAAATTTGGCTCTTTCCTTTCCCTGTCATCACCCCCTCCCTGAGTTAATGTATTGTAATTTATGCCACACTCCTGGCACACAGTTGCTCTTTCTTTGCTGCCACTCTGAGCTGCTCCAGGGATTTGCTGATGTCATGAAACAGGGAATGTGCAGCTCGGATGAATTACGACATTGAAGTCATTCCAAGGCCATCTGCCTGCTGGAGCCAAATGTAATTAATGTTGTAAACTCTTCTGTACAATATCTGATATGAAAATTGGAACCTCACAAGGAGGAGAAGCAGTGACACACAAGTACACACTTCCAGTATATCTCTGTATATTTATGTACATGTGGGTTTTAGACCATCCTTATTCAGAATTTCATGGCTTTTTTTCTCTTTACCCCACAGCTTAAGGTTTGTCAGTGGAAGCAGAGATGGAACAGCAAGAATCTGGCACTACCATCAGCATGATTGGAAGAGTGTGGTCCTGGATATGGCTACTAAAATGACAGGGTAAAGCAAACCAAGCAGAACACACCTTGTGGCCACATTTACATGCAAACTAAATCCTCCATCATATTGCAAACTGTTCATTTACTGCCATTTTGAGTTAATTTCCATGCATGTTTTTTGGGTATTGAAAATGCCATGGCTCACTCTGTTAATTTACACAGTTAATTAGCCCACCAAATAAAATATTAATACATTGGTGGTTCCCTACCTAATAGTTGGGGAATATTTAGTATTTTACATGTGAAGTAAGAATGTCAAACAGTTTTATGTCACAAAAACAGGTTTTAGTAGAACCCCACTGATCACGTGCTAATATATATATCCAGAATGTTTCTTAACATTGTACTTCTTCCTTATTTTTCCAAGTAAGAGGTGAAATGTGGTGTTCTGGTTCTCAGGTTCAAGTAGGGTTTCGAGTTTATCTTTTTGAGATCCTCAAGTGACTTTTGTAAGTGCCTTGTAATTGGATATGCACAACAACAAAGAGCAGAAATCTGTTAGGCATTTGCTTGGCAGATTTCTCTATGTTTCATATGGTTACATTTGCAGTGTTTGCTGTCAGAGGTGTGATTTGGGCTTATTTAACAGGTTCCTGCTCTTTGTGGAGTTTACTGATATTGATGACTGATAAAAATGCCTTGTAGGAAAAAGCTTAATAGATCTGAAGAGCTTGGAAGGAAAACCTGGGGTAGGCGAGGGTGGTGGCTTAAGAACAGAGGAGAAAATGTCCTTTTTAAGGACATAGAGATCTATAAATCTTAGTGGCACTGAATATTTCCTGTATCCTGTTTTTACCACCACAGAACCATCCTTCTTTCTCCTGCCCCAGCCAGAGTCACAGTCACATCCATCTTCCCTGAATTCCATACTGGATTAGCACTGAAATGTTTCCATATGGAGTTACTGATTTATTCCTTTTTAACTCATTGGTTTCCTTAGAAACAATGTGGCATCTGGGGAGGACAAGGTGACTAAGCTGAAGGTCACCATGGTGGCCTGGGATCGATACGATGCCACTGTCATCACTGCAGTCAACAACTTCCTTCTCAAAGTGTGGAACTCATCCACAGGGCAGCTTCTCCATAGCTTATCTGTGAGTAACATTCCAAGGGGGAATCCCAAATGGATGTAGTTCAGCTCTGAGATTGATTTGAGGCTAAACTGCATCATCATTCCCCCTGATGAGGAGTGTTTGGTCTCGAAAGTATCCAGCTGTGCCCTACCCGTTGGGAGGAGGGTGTATCCTGGGGAAAGGAGCTGATGGCCAGGATCCTGGTCATTTCTGGCTGACAAGGAGCCCTTTGAAGGCTCCATTTGTGCACTGATTTCTCCTTCCTCCCCATGTCAGCAATGCTGAGCTGCAGTCAGGGCAGTGACAGTGCCAAAACTGTGGCAGGAGTGTTGTCCAAGTACAGCTCCAGTCCCAGATCCAGTGGATTGAGCTGCTCCCTGATCTGAGATGTCCTCACACGAATTACCAACACATCTGGAGGTACCACATGGAGAAATACAAGTTCCTTTTTCCCCCTGCTGTCGTTGTAGGGTCATGATGATGAAGTGTTTGTTCTGGAGGCTCATCCCTTTGACCAAAGGATTGTGCTTTCGGCGGGTCACGATGGGAATATTTTTGTTTGGGATATAGACAAAGGAACAAAAATTCGCAATTACTTCAACATGGTAAGAAGGATCAGGAAGTTTTATTTTCATATTTGTTTAAAACTGATCTTGGGACAAAAGCAGATTTCATTATACACCTACAGAACCAGCACAGGTCTGAGATCTTTGGCGTGGGCTTACCCTGTGTCTGCCATTAAGATAAAATACAGACTTCCGGGGGGTTGTTTCAGAACATACATTAAAAGTTGTGCTGAAATTTCAGAACAAAGACAAAATGTGAAGTTTTACAGTGTTGTTCAGTTTAACTTTAATACATAAAAGTGCAAATCAGTCTTGAGTAAAGTGAGAAATTACAGAATGAGTGTGAAATACGTGTTGGAGCACAGGTGAAATGTTTGTAAAAAAGCTCTTGAAGTGAATATATGGTGAAGGGAATGTTCTGTGCTTGATCCAGATTGAGGGCCAAGGCCACGGAGCTGTTTTTGATTGCAAGTTCTCACCAGATGGGCAGCATTTTGCCTGCACAGACTCTCATGGACATCTGCTACTATTTGGTTTTGGATGCAATAAATATTATGAAAAGGTGGGTTGAATGAATTTTAAATTCTTCCCTGTCTTGACCTGATTTTGTCTTAAAAGTATTTGTGTTACAATTTATTCCCTCACCCTGCCTCACACAAAATAATAATTAGATCATGAAGCAGTTGCTTTTTACCTAAATCAAAAATATTTAGACAAGAGAATCTTAGACAAGGGAGCAAAGCATTAACTTCTCTCTGTTCACATCTTTTGGCCTATTTTACTCTTGCATCAGGCCTTGGTAATAAACCACATTTGTGGCAGGAATCTGTTCTCTGTCACAACATTCCTGCTGCTGCTCCTGAGTGCAGGAGTTGTGGTTTATGGGTATGGAGCCATTCCAGAGCAGCCAGACAGCTGCAAATGGCCATTGATTCATTCCCTAAATTGCTTTTCTTTCAGATTCCAGATCAGATGTTCTTCCATACGGATTACAGGCCTCTGATCCGTGATGCCAATAACTACGTGTTGGATGAACAGACCCAACAGGCTCCACATCTGATGCCTCCCCCATTCCTGGTGGATGTTGATGGAAATCCTCATCCCACGAGATTCCAGCGCCTGGTCCCAGGGAGGGAGAATTGCAAGGATGAGCAGCTCATTCCTCAGCTGGGATATGTAGCTAATGGTATTCTCTCTAAACCTCATGAATAATACATGTGTGGCACAGGATTGAGCAGCAGCTCCGTGAGGTGGTGCTGTAAGAATTTATAAATTAGTGGTTTAAATTCAGCAGAGAGGTAGAAGAGGAGATAGGGTGAGTTTATGGCACTAAGGAAGTGTCTGGAACTAACTTGACTGGAAACAAGAATATTCCAAAATCTGTGGACTTCTCCCATATATGGCAGATGCTTAAAGCATTGTCCCATTAACCTCAGTGTAACTGTGGATGTGAGGAAGGAACCAGGAGGGTGAGAAAGACATGATAAAAACAGCTTTTGTTTTTCAAAACAGGGTTTCTTTTCCCTGTAGACATAATTTTTTTCAAAATGCTGGTCTCCAAAAAAGATCTTCCATTATTACCCACTGAAGCATAATTTCTTTCTGCTGTTTCTAAGGGTTTGTGCTTATGTTTTGCATGTGCTCTGGAGTTTCAGGTTTTTATTGTAGCTTCTCTTCTAAACTTTGCCTCCATTTATTCCATGGGAGCAGAAAACCAGCCAGTGATCAGATGTTCTGCAGGGGAGAGTTTTAAATGGGATTGTTTCTGTGGTGTTTAGTAGAACAGTAATCACTTTATAAGAGAGATTAATTTATAACAGAAATTAATCATTTCATATTTGTGGTTTTGTTCTTGCCAAGGTGATGGTGAAGTAGTTGAACAAGTCATTGGGCAGCAAACAAATGACCAGGATGAGAGCATCCTCGATGGAATGATCAGGGAGCTCCAGAGGGAACAAGATCTGAGACTAATTAATGAAGGAGAAACTCCTCCAAACCCTCCACTCAACAGATCCCTCTCTGTCAATGGAGGTCAGTGTCCTGCCTTGTCTCCACCAGTTCTTTCCTTAATCACAGAAGGTACTGATCAAAATGTCTTCATGTGTCTTGGAGGATGCTTTTCTCTCCTGTTTGTACACCTTGTTAACCTGTGGGGGGAGCATTTGGCTGTTCTTTGGATTCCAGCAGGGAAATTAAAAGTTTTAGGTGCAGCTGAGGGCACACAGTGTCTGACTGGGCTGTGTCTGATTACTTCAAGCTATTAGACTGGAACTATTCCTGTTATAAACCATTTTCCTGAAAAATAAACATAAAACTCACTGTATTGTCTTGATATCAGTGCAGAGATGATACTTCCTAACTGCATAATGTCAAAATAACAGCATATAATTAGAGGTTGTCAGTGAATAGTGTTGTGACAGACTAATGGTTTCCTGCTGCAGCGGAAGGCTGAGCATCAGTGGTAATAAAATAAACATGTTGCTCTGTCTTAGTATTTCCTTAGAAAGCTTGAGATTATTCTCCTGGTAAATGTTCTGCTACTGTGATTTTATCTTTAATACACAAAGTGATTAAAAATTTAAACCTAACTCAGTCAGATGTGAAGAGCTGAGTGGGCGCAGCTGATGGAAGGGGAGCAGATGCCGAGGACCTGAGCTGCAAGTCATCCTGAGCTTTGGGAAATTTACAGCTGCTTATAAATTAGTTCTAGGTTAAGTGACTGATTACACATGTTTGAAGTAGATTTCCTGGAAAAGCTCATTAGGATTTGGAGTTGCTCGTGTTGAAATTCAAGAAGGAATAGGAAAAATATCGGTGAAAAATGCTGAAAATACACTTTTGCTTTGCTCTAAATTGGTATGTCAGGAAGGGTGTCTAGAAGGCACCTTCAGCTTACACAAAGTCTTTTCTGCATCTTAGGATAGGGTGATGTGTTGTGCAGTCCCAATTCCCATTTTATCTGTGTGTCCCTATAGTTGTACAAAGGAATTTCCAGGTATGAATGGTATGGAAATTAAAGCAGTTCCCTTCTAGAACTTGCACTGAGGAGTGACTTTGCTATGTGATCACCCAATTGATGTAAGCTAATTAGAGTATGTATAAACAGACAAATATTTTTATGCAGGTTTGCATAACCATAAATTGCAGTATATTCATGTGGTTGACCATATTTAAGCATGTGGGAGTTGTGTTGATGAGCTAAACAAGAACAATGATGGCAGTCATTCCATTATTAGCAGGTTTTTTGTGTCTTTTTGCTGCCTGAAGTGTGTGTTTTCACTGTGTTGTGCCACCTGATGAGAAGCCCAGAGCAGAGCAGTGCCTGTGGCACAGCAAATAAGAATTAAAACCACAAAACAAATGGAGACACAACACAAAACGTAAACCTTGCAGCAGTCTGTTATTTTAGTTGTCAACCTCATCTCTTCTTGTTCCATAGAATTTTAAGATTGATGATTTTAGAGCCTTTAAGCAGTTGAAAAACTTTAATTTGAAGTTCACTTAAGTGCCCTTAAAACTTTCCTCATGGATTACATTCTCTGTGTGCCTCAGATATCTTGAGAATACCTCAAACCAGCAGCAAACACATCCCTAAGGCCAGCACACGAAAATGTTCACCTGGATCAAAAGAAAAGCCACTTCATGAAGAATAAGTGTTGATTATTGCCAAAAAAGAATTTGTGTGGTCCTTAAGCATTTAATTGTAGATTAGATATTGGGAAGGAGTTCCTTCCTGTGAGGGTGATGAGGCCTTAGCACAGAGAAGCTGTGGCTGCCCCATCCCTGGAAGTGTCCAAGGCCAGGTTGGAGCAACCTGGGCTGGTGGAACAGGATGAGCTTTAAGGTGCCTTCCAACCCAGCCATGATTGCATGATTCCAGTGATGGTTTATGGAAGTTGAAGAGGTTGTTTTTCCCTCCCTCAGCCCTTCGCAGCCCGGCTCTGGACGTGGCCTCCCCCCCGAACGTGGGGCTCCGCCGGAGCGGGCAGATCGAGGGCGTGCGGCAGATGCACCACAACGCGCCCCGCAGCCAGATGGCCACCGAGAGGGACCTCATGGCCTGGAGCAGGAGGGTGGTGGTCAATGAGCTCCCTCCAGGCGTCAGCAAGTAAGATGCTAAGTGAGCCAGGGGAGGAAAAAAAAAACCTCATTGTGTAATATTTAATAATTAATCCGTACTCCTGAAGTGATTTTGCAGAAGCGCGTTGGCTTTGGGGGTTGGTTGATCGTGCTGTTTGGAATGTTAGGGTTGGAGTGGGGAGTTGAGAATAGTAATTCCTTCTTTGCACAATTCAGTCTTTCTTCAGTAGTTCAAATACCACATTTCCCTGAAGTTTTATTTAAAACAAACCCCATGCAAATAGTTTTAATTCATTCCAGTCTACTTGGAAGTAATTATGGATGCTCAGCTAAGGACTTTGCTTCCTTAACTTATAATTCTAGGAGTGATGCTGCTTGTGCACAGATTTCTTATAGCAATAGAACAAGTATTTCTATGTGTGTCTTAATGAGACTGGTGAGTTATTTGATGATTTACTGAATAAAAAGAATGTTTCTTCTGCATAATTAGGGTCCAGGAAGAATGTCGAGCTGCCAAAGGTGAAATAGAAATTAGTTTATACACTGTTGAAAAGAAGAGAAAGCCATCCCACACCTTACAACGGGTGAGTTATAGCACTAAATTAAACAAAAAAACCCAACCCAATTTCATTAAATTATTTAGAAGATCAATACTCCTAGTTGTTCCTCTGGCTCTGTCTTCCTTCTATAACTGTGATTTTTCTGTCTGTAATATGCAAATAGTGGTAAATCTCTATCCTTGAGGCTTCAGTGGTGGGAAGATTCTGGGAAAGAAAAAGAGCAGAACCACAGTGGGGTTTCACTGTGACTTGTGGAAAATGGGGATGGTCCTGTGCAGGGCTGAGGGTTGGACCTGATGACTCATGTGGGTCCCTTCCAACTCAGCACATCCTGTGATTCTGTGAAAACAGAGAAACTTTAGAGGTGCCACAGTTTTATAAGTGGCTGGAGTTATCTTATGCAGAGATTGCAGGAATTTTATAGAAAAAATTATGTTTTCCCTAACTTCCTTTCTACTTTATGAAGTAGAATTGATATTGAACCAAAAACCACGCTTGGAAGTGCCCTTAAACGAACCATGATGCGTCCAAGATTCTACAGCGATTTCCTGTTTGCAGTTGGAATGTAACATTCAGTCACGTTAACGAGGCATCTTTTAAGTGTGTAACTCGTCCTTGACTCCTTGGTTTTGTGCTGTTTGTCCCCGTGGCAGAGCGAATTCCAGGCGGGCAGCGGCAGGTCCCTGCGCAGGAACCAGCGGCGGCGGCAGCACGCCTACCAGACCCGCTCCACCATCGAGCACAGCCCGCAGGGAGCCACCCACCACCCCTGTGCCCGCCAGCAATCCGACAGCTCCTCCGAGGTCTGACCCCCCCACACACCTCCCAACAGCCTCCCTGCTCCCAAATCTCACAGCACAGCAACACTCCCGAGTTTCTCTGTGCGGGGAGGAACACGCGGCTCATTGATTCCCTGGGATTTGGGGCGTGTTGGTCTGGGAGGGTGCAGGATCTTCTCCCTCAGTGCCAGTACAGTGTTCAAAAGTAGCATGAAACAGCTCATGTATTTTTGGAAACCTGAAACGTTTTCAAGTAAATTTAACTGGGTTGTGTTAAAGCACTTGCTATTTTGGGATCTCACACAGCACGTGGATTCAGGGCAGGGCCTTGATTTCGTTTTGCAGTGCTTTGATTTCAGCTACATCTGTGGACTGCTGTGGAAAGAGATGGAGTGTTGGTATTAATCACTGATATTGGCAAGGGAAGAACTTAAAATATCCCAGATTAAATATAACTTGTTGTCCTTAAGGAAGAGGCCGAACATTGTTGCTTTGTAGATGCACTGAATGTACAGAATAGCTAAAAAAGTTGGGCACTTGGCACTAAAATTTATGAATCAGACATTTAAATGTGAACTCATGTTATGGTTCTAATAGAATTAAAATTCACATCTGTTTCTATAGGAGTTATAGCATATAATATTATTTATACTATATTATATAAGGGACAAAAAGGACAAAGTATAATATTGATTAATACATAGAAAGAAATTGTCTACTTATTTATATGGGAATTATAAAATCATGTAGTGTCGTACTAAGATACAGAAAGAAACTGTGGACCTACTTATTTGAATCTAAACCAGCCCTTAAATACAAAGTTTTCCTCAGAAGACACATCTTGCTTGCAAACAGAAATTACATATTTTAGCCTTGACCCCAAAGTGAAACCTTTGTTTTTAACACAGGAAGATGAGACTGTTGGCACAAGCGATGCCTCCATGGATGATCCCGTGGCAGCCTGGCAAAGTGAAAGCAGTTCCAGGTACCTTTACTGGGCTCTGAATTGGTAATACTGGTTTATTATGGAATTTAATTAAGACAGTTGATGTTGTGATACTCAGACTTCATTTTGAAGACTGTTTTTTTTTTTTTCCTCAGTTCTTTGTGAAACGTTTTATGTTGTGGGTTTTTTGGTGTTTTTATTTTTTCAGTCAGAAGCAGTTTTGAAAGACCATTTGTAAGAAAATGGTGTCTTTAATTAAGAACTGCTTGAAAAAATCAAAGCCAGTTTGCCATGCAAATCCTGTATGTGTTATTTGATATTCAAGAAGTCAGAACTGGATTTTTAGGGAAGTGCTCTGGTTTTCTACATTTTTCAAGCATTTTTTACTGCTGGTTCTTCTGAAATCAGTCTGTGAATTAGTGAGATGATGAGTATGAAAATTGGTATCAGCCATAGCTGCAGTTTTACTGGGAGTTTCAAATGGATACAATAATTTGTTGAAATCAAAAATTCTCTAAATTCACATGATAACAAAATTCTGTGCTAATCCTGACATCTGCTCCCCAGGAGAGCAGGTTGAATGTTTGGACCTTTCAGTCCATTCTGTGAAAACTGAAGTTTTCTGTTCTCTTCCTTACAACTTTTTCTTACCTCCAGTGATTCATCAAGTGAATATTCGGACTGGACAGCAGATGCTGGAATTAATCTCCAGCCTCCAAAGAGACAAACCAGGCAGGCAGCTCGGAAAATCTGTAGTAGTTCTGAAGATGAAAATATGAAGGGAACAAAAGGACTGGAGCCAAAGCGAAGGAAACTTAAACAGCCTAGAAAAAAGGTCAACATTTGTAAATTTTTAGTGTCTGTTTTACTTTATGAATATAAATTTGGGGTTTTGGTGTTTTTTTTCAAAGTAAAATTGTTCACAGACAAGTATATAGGAAGAAAGAAACTATAGAGAGCACAGGAATTGTAGTGCCAGTGGTACCAAAGTGATTTTATTTTTTTTTTCCTGTGTGACATAGATGTTTTCTCCCAGGTTTATGCTCTTCCCTGCAGTTAGATTTACTCCAGGATGGTTTTGTTGTAAAATTACAGTGGATCTGTATTGTATCTACATTGCCAGGTTTCTTTTTCCTGGTATTTTTTTTAAAAAGAGCTGTTTAGAATATTTATAAAAGTACAATCTCTTTATTTTATTTTATTTTTTATTTATTATCTAGAACCACAGCCCGGTTTGGGCTGGAAGGGACCTTAAAGTCCACCCTTGTTCCATGGGCATTTTAATGAATTTATGAATGTTTTAACTTTCTATTATATTTATAATAGACATGTCTTATTCCCTACTATTTAGTGGAGGTTTGGGAAGGCTGACATTCCAGTATTTCCTTTGCTTTATATCTCTTATGTGCAGTAACTGCTGTATGGTCAGTTTTTCATGTGTTCTGCCATGGTAATTAATTGCATTCTGAATATTTTAGTAATTGCATTCTAAATGTTATATTAATGGTGTTCTAAATACTGTATTAATTGTATTCTCAATGTAATATATTTCAGAAGCCCAGTGGCCTGCTGTCCCTGGAAGGGGAGCCCAGTGAGGAATGGCTTGCTCCTCAGTGGATCCTGGACACCATTCCCCGGCGCTCCCCGTTTGTCCCACAGATGGGAGATGAGGTACTGCCTGCAGCAATTCCCACATTCCACAGGGGCTGGAGAGCTTGGGGTGGTCAGGACTATATATCCAGCAGTGAATTGTGCCCCAAAATAGGCTGAACATTGATAATTCTCAGGCAGTTTGTTGTTTGCAGATAATCCTGAGTCTCTTTTTCTGCAGTGGTGACTGAGGAGTAGCAGGAAGAGCTGGTTGTTCACCTTCACCTGCCATTTCTTAATTATCCCACTTTTGAAGCACAGAGGAAGTGCTGATTAGGGGGGCTGATAGAAATATTTTTAACTAGAAGAGTGTTTTATAATGAAATAGATAAGTGGGCAGTAAGTTCTCATCCCTGAGGCCTCCTGTTCATAGAAATTTTAGAATGAACAGGAAGAGAACTCGCAGTAAAATAACCTTCTCTTTTTTTCTCTTTTTTCTCTTTTTTCTTTTTTTTTTTCCCTTTTAAGATCATATACTTTAGGCAAGGCCATGAAGCTTATGTGAGGGCAGTAAGGAAAGCCAAAATTTACAGTATTAACATGCAAAAACAACCGTGGAACAAAATGGAACTCAGGGTAAGTTTAAAGAAATACTTCAAAGAGCTGAATGTCTCTGTAATGTTAAACTGACACGAAAAACCAGCATGAAAAATACGAAGAAGGAATGACTTTAAAATGTTAATATTGAAGTTTAAATTGTAAATATTAATTCTTTACATCTGTTCAGTTCCTGATTTTGGACATGGTTCTCAGGAGTCACTTTCCACACAAATTATTTTCATTTAACACTAATTTATTCAGAACCCACCACTCCAAAGCTGTTTATAGTTCTCTCACTGCTCTACAATGACCTGAACATTTGGTTTCTAGTTCTTGTTTTTAATGCTATGGTAAGAAGGAAGAAATTATGGTGTAAACACCTAAATGTGTGAACAAGCTCTTTTAAACACTGGATCTTACTTTGAACCAGAGTCCCCTAGTGTTGCCATGTTTTTTCCTGCTTTACTCCAATTTTATATCAAAAGAAGAGTCCATATATGTGCTAATATTCATATATGTGTATACCAGTGCTTCTATTATATGAAAATAATTGCTTAACTGGAACAATACCCAGTTACTAGGCTGAAGTATTCAGTGATTCCAGCTGTAATTTTCCAGGGCATCAGCAGCTTGTAAGGAAAAGGAAACAGCGTTTCACTTAGGGTAGAGTTTGACAGGATGTGAACATAAAGGCTATTGTGGAATTTCTGTTTTAAGAGGAAGAATTTCCTTTTTCCCCCCTATACAAGACTGAGGAGCCCTGGATTAGGTCAGGGATAAACTTTGGTGCCATCAATGTGGTTAAAACCAGAGTGGGTTTGGTCCTTAGAACCTTCTTAAGTAATTTGTGGGAATCCTATTCACAAATCTACCAAGGGAATGAGCATCTTACACCTTCCTGGTTTTTGGTTTTAAGGTGTCAGTGATTGATTTTTAGTATTTGGAGAAATAAAATTTATGGGTGAAATTACCTAGGCTGTAGAGTAGAAACACTGGTTTATATTAATATGTTTAATCCTTTAAAGTGGATATTTTTGTGGTCAGTGAGTTAAAAATAATGCTGTTCCATATTCATTGATAAATAGGAACAAGAATTTGTGAAGACTGTAGGGATTAAATACGAAGTTGGGCCTCCCACACTCTGCTGCTTGAAGCTTGCATTCCTGGATCCAATCACAGGCAAAATGACAGGAGAATCCTTTTCCATAAAGTAAGTCACTGGAACACTGATGACATCCTTCAGGAGATTTTTTTGCACTGTAAAAGCTTCTCCCTCCTCCTTCCAAATGCATGGAATTTGGGGACTGTGCTGTGCATGGAGAATTATATTTCTGGGTAGTAATAACTTTTCTCTGTCTTGTTTCCTGAAGGTACCATGATATGCCAGATGTCATTGACTTCCTCGTGCTGCATCAGTTTTATAACGAAGCCAAAGAAAGGAACTGGCAAATAGGTGACTCCTTTTTTTTTTTCCCCCCCACTTCCATATGTTTTCTGCACCATTTCTGCAGCTGTTTAATGGGATGCAGGGTCTTCATTACATCATATAAAGGACTGTGCACATGTGATATTGTCACAGAATAGGCTGAGTTGGAAGGGACCCACGAGGATCATCAAGTCCAACCCTTAGCCCTGCACAGGACCTTCCCCAAGAGTCACACCGTGATATTATAGAGGTCATTGGAAACTTTTATTTGATGTTTGCTGCAATTCCTATAGCAGAAAAAACCAAAAAAATATAAGAGAAACTGTCCCAAAACCTGTGAGAGCAGGAGAATCTGCTGATCTGTTGTGATTTGAGGCATGGAAGCAGCTGTGGGTAATTCCCAGAGGTATCCAAGGCCTTCCTTTAGGGCTCCATTCCTTTAGTGCAAAATGTAAAAATTGAAGTAGTGCATTTATGAAAGATGGAGTTGACTCTCTAAAAAGAAATATTTAATAATTATTGATGCTGTTCTTGTGCTGAATGCAATATTTTGCCTTCCAGGGGATAGATTTCGCAGTATAATAGATGATGCTTGGTGGTTTGGAACTGTGGAGAGTCAGCAGCCTTTCCAGGCAGAGTATCCTGACAGTTCCTTCCAGTGCTACAGTGTCCAGTGAGTTTTTACATGTTTTACACACAACTCAAATGGGTACCTCAGGCATCAGCATCTCTTTTTTCCATTTAAATAAATAACCAGCCACTTGATTGACTTATTTAATTTTGAATTTATTCCTAAAGCAACACTTCTGGTGTAAACAGCAGTGCAGTGACTATAGAGGGGATACAAGAGGAAAATAAGGAGTTGGAATGTCCTCAGTGACAGGTCTTGTTCCTAACAGGGATGAGCTTTGTGGTGTAAATCTGGTAAAGAAAAGGTGCATTGTTATATTCAGCTTTAACTTGTGCATTTTGAATGTATTTGTTTTAATAGCTGGGACAATAATGAAAGAGAGAGGATGAGTCCCTGGGACATGGAACCAATCCCAGAAGGAAGTAAGTGTTGAACTCATGTTCCTGTACAAAGTAAGCAGCTTTTTGCCACTGCTGGGACTTACTGCCTGTGGAATTCTCCCTTTCCAGCTGCCTATCCAGAGGAGGTTGGTGCTGGAGTTCCTGTGACTCCAGAGGAGCTGACAGCTCTTCTCTACAAACCCCAGGAAGGAGAATGGGGGGCCCATTCCAGAGATGAAGAATGCGAACGAGTGATCCGTGGCATTGAGCAGCTTCTTTCCCTTGGTATGTTTGGAGAGAAGGGGTGGAAGGATTAAGAATATCAGTATATTAATATCAGAATATCATGTGGTGGCACATGACTGAAGAGCAGATGGGATGGAATGTTGGGAGTTGGTGTGGAATATTTGAAACAGAAACTAAATTACTGAAAAGAGCCTTTTTTAATTTCATATTTCAATTTCCTTTTAAGTTATATTCCTTTTTTTCCCCAGGGGTTCACCTGGTTTCTTTCAATGGGGGTTCTCAGTGGGTCATATCTAAATGTGAATGAGCAAAACCAAACAACAAATCCTCACTGAACATCCTCACCAACAAATCCTTTGTAAATAGTTTGTAGCCATTTAATAGCACACTGTGGTTTAATTTCTGCCTATATTTACACCCAGGACATGTCTGTATTCCTAACTTATATTACTTGTTGTAGCATTCCTGTTTTAAGTGATATGCATGTTCCTTTCAGTGGCACATTTGGCTGCTGACACACAAACCTCAGATGTGATACTTAAACAAAAAGTGCTTTTTCGAGAGTATTTAACAGATGGCACAAGAGGAAGAACTGTCCCCTTTGTGTAATGACATTTCCAGCTGTAGATCTGGATTGCTTTTGCTGAATTCTTAGAAAGAAAACCCAGAAAGCATTAAAAGAAATATCAATATCGTGTAACATCCCTTTGAGGCATCTGAATGATTTTGCTGTTTTGTCTTGCAGACATTTCCAATCCCTTTGCAGTCCCAGTGGACCTTAGTGCCTATCCCATGTATTGCACTGTCGTTGCTTATCCAACTGACCTCACCACGATCAGGAGGAGACTTGAAAACAGGTTTTATAGGTCAGTTGGCTTCGGATTTGTTTGTAATCTCCATTTGTTACAGCCCCATGGAGGGCAATCCTGAGCTGAATGTTCTGTAATGCCCCTCCAGCAACGTGAGCAACAGCATCAGATAGGATTCTGTTTGGCCTTGGGCAAAGTGAGTCTTCCTGAATAATAAATTCCTTTTGGTTGGTAAGGCAAAAGCCGGTATGGCTGGATCTGGAGTGTGTTTAACATCCTGAGCCTCACTCTGTGCTGGAGGCAGAGCATATTTACTTTGTTTCCATCCCTGCTCCCTTTGAACCAGAGGTTTTACTGGTGTTGCAGTTGCCAGAAATGGGCTAAATGCTGTAAAGTGGAAATCTCTGGGTTTTTTCCAGTCAACTTGGGAATAAATAACATCCTGATCATTTTTCTCCCTCTGAGGACCACCTGTTTCTCCTCGCTCTGAATCCCCAATTCCTTTTTTTACTGCAGAATCCTACTGATCTCAGAGGGAAAACAATCCACACCTTCTTCTTCATCCCATTTCTTAAATTTTCTGTATTTTTAGGAGAATCTCTGCACTGATGTGGGAGGTCAGATACATTGAACACAATGCCAGGACCTTCAACGAGCCAGACAGTCCCATAGTCAAAGCAGCCAAAATCGTGACGGACGTGTTACTGCACTTCATTGGGTAGGTTTGGACTTCACAGCCCCCACAGCTTTGAGTTCCTGAGAGATTTGATTGTGTATCTTGGTTTTTGTCACTGTCCTACAGAGATCAGAGCTGCACTGATATCTTAGAGATCTATAACAAGGTGAAAGCAGAAGACCTGAGCAGCACTGATGAAGAAGAGGAGGTAAGATAATTTTCTTGCCTTCTGAAGTTCATCATGTGCAAGAAATTTGATTTTTGTTGAGTCTTTATTTTCTGGGTAATTGCACTGAGGTTTTGAGATGAGCCTGTTCAGGCTCACCTGGGACAATAAGCTCCCTTAAGTAGGTAAAAATGATTCTTGGAACTGCCTGTCTTTAATCTGCTCCCAGTACAGGGTGTTTTGTTGTGTGGGGAAGGATGAGTAATTAGGGGACTGGGAAGTGGAGCTGTTACTCAATCAGAGGACAACAGCTCCCCATTGCCAGCAAGGCAGCAGAGATGGTTTTCATGTGTAATTCTGTGTCATTTCCCATCCGTTGTTCCCTGGAGTGAAATGTCAGGTAGAGCCCAGATATCACTTCCTTGAGCTTTTTCTCTCTCCTTGCACCTTCTCCCCTTCAATGCAGTTTGAAATGGGCTGTAGTTCCTATTGCAAAGTGACCTGTTACAACCTAAATCGCTTGGGTTTTACTTTTCAGTGTTATTTTCTAATACACAAGGTAATATAAGATTTAGTGAGGAGGTTTCTTCCCTAAGACATTCTCTTTTGTGGCAAATTGGAAATATGAAAGTTAAACCTGGTGTTGCCTGAGCACCTGTTTGCTTGGGGCTGGTGCTGCTGTCTTGGGTTTGTGTTGAAATTAAAGTCTGTGCTACAGTGAAATAATTTCATTATTTTATAAAACTGAAGATGGAATAACACCATCTGTTTTCACAGACTGTGAAAAAAGTATTTTGAAGAAAATGAGAGATTTCCATGGTAAAATAGCAGACCCCCCTTTCCCAACTCAACCTTCTACTCTCAGTTTTGAATCTCAGAAGTGACCAAAATTCCCTCTATATCACCTTCCTCTCTCCAGCCTTCCAAAGAGCTGGTTTATAACGTGTTTTGCTTTATAATATTTTAAAAGTTTAAATATTTTTTAGATGTTAGGAAGGAATTCTTCCCTGTGAGGGTGGGGAGGCCCTGGCACAGGTTGCCCAGAGAAGCTGTGGCTGCCCCTGGATCCCTGGAAGTGTCCAGGCCAGGTTGGATGGAGCAACCTGATCTAGTGGAGTCCTCTCAAAAATTATTTATATTTAATTACTGGTAAAAGCTGTGTAGAAAGGAATTTTTGTTGTAATTCCTGAATCCAGGTTCTGAAAAGAATATTACATCCACCTGATGTAAGTAAGGCACTGCATGAAACCTGAATAAACTCAGTGCAGCTGCTCAGAGCATGAAAACTGAGGCAGGGTAATGAAGCTCTGCAAGGCTGCAACTGAGCTGAGTCTTAAGGACTGAAAATCAGCCATTCCTATTTCTCATATGTTTTTATGTATCATTTTTTATGGAAGCAAACTTGGAAAAAGCATGAAACAGCTTAAAATCAGGAATCAGGTGGATTGAGTTATGTAAATTCTAGTTTGAAATTAGTTTCTGCTTTTCTTGAGCCATTTATTACATTTAAAATATTTGTTATTGTTGGCTGATTTTTAGCCCTTTTTCCATGGCTGAGGGTCCATCCAAGGCCCTGTGTGTGATCATTCCCTTTGCCTTTAGGTGGCAGAAGTAGATGTGGATTCAGACGCTCCAGGAACTTCCTCTGGGAAAAGAAGAGTGAGTAAAACTTCTGCTTTGGTCTTTTTTTTTATATTAGATTTGAAAAATATCAACAACAGTCAAGTTTAGATAAAACTGATACAAATAACGAGGCTGAGGCTGAAATATTGCAACTTTGAGTTTTGGGTTTGAGTGTTACATATGACCAGAAAAGCCAAATTGGGCCATCAGCTTTGCTTGAATCTTCCTGGATTTTTGTTTTTGGTTGTGGAGATCTTTGAATCAGAATGCTGGGAAATTAATAGGAAATCGAAGGGGAAAATTGGAATTTTCTGATAATTTCTGTTTCCCTGCAGGTAAGACGACGAGTGAAAAGGCAGCCCATGAAAGCCAGTCCTGATGCCTGGAAGGAGCAGTGCCAGCAGCTGCTAAACCTGATTTATGAACGGGAGGACTCGGAGCCTTTTAGGCAGCCTGTTGATCTCTTCTCTTATCCTGTAAGTGCACCTCCCACATCCAAAATGGTTCATCCTTTGGCAAAGCATCCATGCTGGGCGTGTCTGTGCTCTCCCTTTTATGAGCAGAGAATTATCTGCAATAACTTGAAAGTAAAATAATAATTACTTGAGCCACTGGATGAACACTGAGGTGCTTTTATTGCTGTAGGATTTGACAGCCTTTACTGTTTTCATCAGCCTTTACTATTTCGTGTCCTTCCAGGATTATCGAGACATTGTAGACACTCCCATGGACTTCAGCACTGTGAAAGAAACCTTGGAAGCAGGAAACTACACCAGTCCCTTGGAATTCTACAAAGACATTCGTTTGATATTCTGCAACTCTAAGGCTTACACTCCTAATAAAAAGTCTCGTGTAAGTAATAAATTTTAATGCCTTTTTTTTTTCACAAAGACCTTGGCCCTACATGAATAAAACACATGGAATAATGTCTGAAGAGCAAAGCATTGCTTGGTGTAATAAAAATAACCAGTGTATATCAATTCTGGGGCCTGTGCTTATAAATTTGCTTTGTTCTGCTCACCCAGATCACTTAAAACTTTCATTTTCATCTGAACTTTCTGAACTTAAAGCTTCTGAGATGTTTAGTGTTGCAGCTGTTTCCTTAAATATTTGCAGCAGAAAACTGATCACAAGGTGCTTTTATTTTTTTTCAATAATTTATTCCTGGAAACAAGGCTATCAGCTTGAAAACTGCATATTTATCTCTGTCCATCTGTCTACAAAAGGATCCTTTTTAAATTAATGGAAATATGATGCAATATTTCTACTACCAGAGGAGATTAGATACTTATTTTTTTTCTAGTTGACTTAGAATATTTGGCAGTACTTTTTGCACACTGTTGCCCGTGTTTCTCAGGTGCTAATCCTGCTTTTTGCTGCTTGGACTTAGAGGCAGAAAAAATGTATTGGATTGAAGCCCTAAGGAGGAGGATATGGAATGAGGGAAAAGGGAGATCAAAATGCTGGAATATAGATATTTTTGTATGAACTAAGTAAAAATGACAACTGGTATGTGACTGATATGTAAACATGGCTGTGTTTGATCTGTGTTCCTGTGTCAGCTTTTCCTAAGCTGTTAAATGATCAAATTACTCTAAAATTTTCAAGTGCTTTAATGATATTTATCCTCAAAAAAAATCACAAGTTGGCACCAGGACAGATGCAGTTTTAGCACTGTTGGTACAAAACAGAGTTGGAGTGGTTGGTGTCTTCGTGGTATAAAAGCAGACAGAGTTTTGACCGTGTTTTCAGACATAAAATTGTAATAATTGCAATGGAGGAACAGCCAGGAGTGAACTTGTGGCTGAGGCTACACAGAGACAAGGCCTAGAGAGAGGGCAGGAAAAGGGTTTAAAGATTGTGACATCTGGTTTACAGAAATTAGGAATGAGGACATTGTAGTTGGCTTCTGTGTGCAGCTGTGTAGGGGTGGAATTAAGACATTTCACCAGGGAATTAAAGCAAAAACAAAGGTGAGGGGACAGCAAAATTCATTTGTTTTTCCCTTGGTATTCAAGTTATCTTATGGGCTGCTTCTTCCATGCTTTATGGGGTTGACAAAGGAGGTTGTATTCCAGTAATTTAGATATGAAATTTCCTTTTACTCTGGAAATATTTTGTACTGGAAATAAATCTTTTTAGGAAAACACTTTCTGTGGTGAGAATACAGAAGGAAATTATCTGCAAAGGACCTCGTAGTGAAATGTCACCATGAATTCTTTCTTTGTGCTGCAAAGTCTGGACATCTTGGTGATTGTTTTTTGGTTGTTCTTCCAAGTTACTGAACTTCTACTAAGTCTGACTGTGCTTTCTCCTTCCAGATTTACAGCATGACCCTTCGACTCTCTGCCTTGTTTGAGAATCACATGAAGAACATCATCTCTGAGTACAAGGCAGCAATGCAGTGTCAGAAGAGGAGGAGGCCGCGGTACCGAAAACGGCTGAGGAGCAGCAGCAGCTCCCCCTCAACCAGCAGAGCATCCAGGTAATGTGGGAGAGTGGGACTGCCTGGCAGTGGCATTCCAGGGAACAGTGGTAGGATAACCAGGCAGCAACAGTATTGCTCATTTCCTGCTACAGTTGTTTTTTTGGGTGATAAAATCGTGTTCAAGTGTATCTTGTGCATAATTCTGGTAAGTGAAAGACTATGTGGTTACAGTTATTCCCTCTGGAGGAAATGAAAGACCAACTGTCTCTTCACCTTCATTTAGTTGAAAAAAGTGTTGTTTAACACTGAGTATCATCAGCCTTCTGTCTGATACATTATCTAAGTAAACTGAGTATTGATTTTAAAAAGGGAGATAAAGTGTTGTTCCTGAAAACTCATCTGCTTTAGCAGACACATGGTGGTGTAACTATTTTTAGTGTTATTACACCTGTGTGAGCACTGGGGAAAAGATATTTGTTTGATAAATTCGCTGCAAAAATCAAGGCATTTTGCAGGGGAAATTGGTTTTGTCTTTGAGTCTTTTGGTGCTGACAGTTTTATCTCTTTGGGATATTTTGTGTTTTCAGCCCCAAAGGGAAGCAGAAACAAATGAAGATTCAACCTAAACCCAACCAGAATACCTCACTGCCCCTGACCAGGACAAGCTCTTCAGTCTCATCTCATGGTGAGGAGGAATGTTCTAAAGTACAGCCTACTTGTATGTGCAGATTGGATCTGTTATTCCTGAGGCACATGCTAAACACACCTGAGGAGAGGGAGCAAGTGGCAGGGTCATGGAAATGTGTTGTCTCTAGGTTGTTTTAGCTGAACTTGGCTGTTAGGAAGTTATGGGTAAGGATCAGGGAATTGGGAGCCTTAGTGAGAATTAACCTAGTCCCCAGAGCCTGAGCTTCCTGTACATGGGCTTCTCTCATTCAGCAGTTATGGATAAATTAATCTTACTTTGGATTATACCAAAAGGAATCTGTCTCTTCATGGCTGTAGAGGCAGCTTGGTGAGATGAACCTGGCTGGGGCTGTTAACTCAGGTGATCCAAAACCTCCCCAGCCCTGTAAATAGAGGATAAAAATCACTCTGTCACGTTGTGCTGTCCTGTGTAAAGTTTCAGATACAGCAGAAGAACCTCTGGGTTCAGCCACTGGTGAAGAGCTGGAGGGTCAACCATCTTCCTCAGGCTCCAATGCACAGAACCGAAGTGGAAATGCCATAGATCCAGGGAAAAGCAGGCCAGTCAGGAGTAAATCCACACCAGTGAAACAAGGTGAGAAATAATAAGATTCCGTTGTTTGAATAACTGGTTTCACTAGAGATGAAAGATGTTCCTTCTCTCTGATGTTGATGGTATTATTGCCTGAGTGTAACATTATATATATTCCCAAACCATACAAAAGAAGTTGAGTTTACTTTACTCCTCACAGTTCTGTGGTCTCTTATCTGAGGTGTGGAGTGCACATGATTCCACGTGGACTTCAGTGAGATCCTTTAAAATCTCTCCAGGTGGAAAAGCTTGATTTCTCTTACACTCCTACAGTCCCTTCAGGAGTTACAAATAACAAACAAACCAAAGGCATCCCCACCCCACAACCTCCTTTTATTAATCAAGTTGAAACCAAAGATGAAAAAAAGTTTCCCCCAAAAATGTAAGTATTTTTATTCTACTCAAGACAAAGAGGTTGTGATTGAAAGGGAAACACTGTTTGAAGCTGTGGTAAGTTGTTTCTGGGACATGTCACTCAGAGTTTGCACTGAGTGGGCATTGCCTGAACCCTGGAGCCTTTCCCAAGTCCACACCCCTGTGCTGTAGCCATGCTGGATGCTGCAGGTGAGCTCTTCCTATGTTAAAGAAGATATTGAATCATCATTATCAGATTCTTAACTCTCAAAACATGTAGGATTTTGGGTCCCACACCAGCAAGACATTTTATGTATTTTTAAGTTAAGATGCCCAACAATTCTAGTGAGCTTTCTTGGGTTATTGACTCTCCTGAATTATGCTTCCCTGGACTCAGCCTTTTGAGAACATGCATTTGAGGGGCAATAAATCTTGCTTGCAGAGTGTTATTTTCATTTATATAGCTTTGAAATGGATTTGAGAGTTTTTCCTGCCTTGGTAGGATTCACTAGATTGAGTTTTAGATGTTCACTCTGGGCTCCTTTTATTGCCTGAATTTTCCCTGAACTCTTAGTCAGGAGAGTTTGAAGTTGTTGCTTCCAGATAAGAACTACATTTAGTTTGATGAATTTTCCTCTTAGAGCACCTGTTTGTGTCCCCAGCACATAAAGGGTGAGTAGCTCCAAGCTGGATCATCCCCAGAGCACACCTGAGGCAGCTGAGGAGAATTTCAGAGGCAGCTGAGGCCAATCCCACTCTTTGTGTCCTGTTTGGCTCAGGTGTGATGCTGATGGGGTTTTTTTGTGTTTGCTTAGATCACTCTCCTGATGGACCCCTCACCAATGGAGATGGCAGAGAGCCTCGGGCAGGAGTCAAGAGGAAGTTACTGAGCGCGTCGGAGGAGGACGAGCACCTGGAGGAGGCAGAGGAGGAGGAAAAGAAGAGAGAATTAAAGGAAAAGTCTGGTTTGTCTTCATCAGAAAGTGGGGAATCGGGATCCAGCTCCAGCTCTGAAAGCAGAAGTGGCTCTGATTCTGACTCGGAATCAACCTCCAGGACAGATCAGGATTACATTGACGGAGACCATGACTACAGCAAAGTGGTGCAATCCAAAAAGCCCAAACGGAAAATCAAACGGAAACTCAGCGCCGGGAAGAGGAATTGGCAGGGCAGGGGCACAGGGAGGAGGGGGAGATGGGGCAGGTGGGGGAGATGGAGCAGAGGGGGCAGAGGGGGGAGAGGTGGAAGAGGCTGCGGCAGAGGCAGAGGCGGCGGCAGGGGAGGAAGGAGAGGCCGCGGAGGCCGAGGGGCCTCGCGAGGAGCCACGAGAGCGAAACGCGCCCGAATCGCCGACGATGAGTTTGAGAACCTGTTTGGGGGCCAGTTTGGAGAGAACGTGTTTGGGGGGAGGTTCAGCCGCCCCCCTCGGATCAAAACCAGGAACGAGGGCAGGAGGACTGTCCTGTACAACGATGACTCCGACAACGACACCTTCGTGCACACCGAGGATCCGTTGAACCTTGGTACTTCCAGGTCAGGCAGGGTGCGCAAAATGACAGAAAAAGCCAGGGTCAGCCATCTCATGGGATGGAATTATTGACAGGTGGAAAACTTTGGAACAATTTTAAAAGAACTTCAATGGCCTTCTACTGCAGGGATTTTACCAGAAATTCTACCAAGCAAGTTGTGCGGGGACTCCACTCACGTTTTCACAGTGGTGCTTTTCCATCCTGTCAGTTTGTGTTTGTTTTAAAGCTTCAGCTCTCCACACTTCATTGGTCAAAACAAGCCTTAGTCATTAGGCCTTAAATTACAGAAATTCTTCCCCACACACTACGAGTTCATCACATTAAAGAGGCTTCCAGCTTCTCAGTAAGAACATGACATTTTTGAGTCACGCTTATGAATTCTCTCCCTCGTTTTGTTTTTGTATTATAGAAATAGCACCTTCTTACAGAGTTTTTATGTGGTTTCTGCCATAAATCCTTAGACACAGTAATAATTATAACTTTTGCACAATACACCAATCCTAAAGGCAGCTATAAAATGTTTACAGTTTCTATATTGTAAGAAGGATCTGGATTATTTTAATCTTCCCAGGCCAAACGTTGATGGAATTGTGCTGAACTGAAGTATGTCTATACTACAGTTTTGGGGGTCCTGATGTGCTTTCTATCGGTTCTTTATTCGTGTAAAAAAGTGACAAAAGGGTTGGTGCCTTGTAAATATGTAGCAAACCTTTGATGTGGTGTGTCCTATGTGTGCATTAACTTTATTAAAAAGAGAATACTTGAGAAGTATGAATATCTAGACAAAAGGTGCCAAATGCAAAAGTTACTTGCATCTATTTTCTTTTTTCCTCTCATATTTTTATAGTATTAATTGAGATTGTGCAGCTAAAGGGGTGACTTCAACATTTGAAAGGTTCCTCCTCTTCAAAGCATAAAGTGATTTTTAATAGTAGCTCAGCTACCTCTTATTTACAACTACTGGAAACTGAAAAGAAAATAGATGCTGTTATTCAGTGCGTGTTGAAGAGGCGAGAAGGAGCTTGAGGGGTGGAAGTTGTAGAGTAACTGTATCTTCATTCTGTTGTCACCATGAAAACCAATTCAGTGGTTACCAGAGTTCTCAGAAGCAGCACGTTCTGTGCAGGTGGGGATTTGTTTGTGCAGAGGGGCTGAGCTGCTCCCACCCCTTCCTGCTGCCCCTTGATCTGTGAAAATGTGGGTTTGGATGAGGGGGCTGGGGGAGCCCCGCTCCCTCTGGCGATGCTGGTACAGAACCCTCCAGACTGACTCTTGTATCTCAAGCTTCCAGAAGAGTATTCCTGTTGCACTGTACTCTTGTTATCCTGGGAAATGCTGACTTGAAACCCTTTGGGCAGTGGTAGTGCAGTTTGTGAGGAGATTGGTGCTCTGGCTCCTCTGGGAGCAGAACCTGGCGCTTGGCGTGGGCTGAGCTGGAGCTGAGCAGCCTCTTCCTTCCTTCCTGGGCTCTGGCTGGAATATATATGGGACTTCAATTTTCTCCCGTTGTCCAAACAGATCTGACAGCTCCGAGAGTGAGTCAGGTCACAGAGAGAAAAAAGAGACTACAAAGTTCCGCTGGAGTTTTTCAAGGTTTTTAGGTTTTTTTTAAACTTTCATCCAATATCGTGAAGTTCTTCTGTGCACAGCTTGGTCAATAATTCTGGAAAACCTCAGGCAGCAAAGAGTGACCCATGTATATTCTCAGATGCAGAAGGAATTTAATTTTTGACTTTCTATATTCAGCACTAGCTATTTTATCTCACTTTCCAAAAAAACCAACTCTAGTTAGATGCAAAAATGACTTGAAAAAAAAAAAAAGCAGAGGTTTAGTTTTGTGATGAAGGAGAGTATATCCTAAACTGCTCATTAATATGAATTTATGGTACAGTACAAAAATCACACTTTTAATTTTTTAAGGAATGGTTGGAATCAGCCGTAATCCACTGCTGGACTCAATTCTGGTTTTGGGGGCGGGGGGGGGGAAACAAGTGCAAAGGCTCTCCTAGATCTGTGTTGGGCTTTAAAGTATAAACACCTGTCCTATCATCTTTCTCATATATCTGTATATATATACACGCATTTATATTTATAAGAAATGTATTATTTGTTTGACTGATTGGTCTTTTTACATATGGTAACCAGGAATAGCATGTATGCATCAGTCCATAGTCAAAATCATATCCTTAGATGAGTCCTGTGAGCTAATGTAAACACTAGGGGTTCTGTCCTAAAGCCTGAAAAGCTTGAAATGCAAAACAAATGCTTTTTTTCCCTCTCTTTCTGACTGGCCGAAAATCCACTTACTCCTTATTTATTTTGTGTAGGGGCTGGGGGAGAGATAAACCACAGGGATTCCAGAGAAACCATTTTATAAGCTGATGTATTTTAGCAACAATTAGAATAAGATTAAATATGTTCTTAACTGTATCTTTTCTATGTCCTGTGAAGATACCAGTGAAGCATCACTTTGCTGTGGCGTAAGTATTACTCCATGTGTCCCATGGTTCCCAGCTAGAGCAGGATGTGCTGGAACAACAGAATTTAGTGTAAAAATTGCAAAAAAAAGCTTCTTTTTTTTTTTTTTTTTTTTTTGGGTGCATGAGAACCTTTTATAAGCATGACAGAAATAACTTGGGTTTAGAGCTGTTCTTTTTGCTTGGTTTGTGTCTGGATTCTTCCTCTGAGTTGGGCAGTTGATTTCTCACAGCCTCGTTCCAGGGAATAATTACACTTTTGTAGGACCTTGGATGCTTTCTCTCAAATCCCAGATCCCGTCAGGAGGTTGTAGAAAACTCAGGGTGAGCCCACCAGGTGTAGCAGAAGCAGGAAAGTGATTCAGACCATCTAAAGGTCTCCCTGGCCCAGCCCCTGGGTGCTCAGCCAGCAGCTCCAGAAGGTGCCGAGCTCCAGGCAGGCTGCAGAGTCAGGAACGTGGTGTCTTTCCTTGCACTCTTTACAAAGAACTCCAAACTCTGCCTAAGGAATGGGATTTAAGGTGTGATTTTTCTGGGACTGTTGGGGGTGTGCAGGCAGACCAGGGGCTCCTCTGCTGCTGTAGATGTTTGGGCTTTGGTGGTTCTGTTCCCTCTGAGGTCAGGCTGGCATGATCCCAATCCTGAGCTGCCAGCGCACTTCAGGGCACCTTGGAAAATGGACCCTCAGCCCCACACACTCCATTCTCCTTGGAGATAGGGCTGGAATCTTGTGTCTTTGCTCTTGGCCTCTCCCAGCTCCAATCTGCTGTCCCTGCAGTGCTCCTGCGTCTTCCCGGAGCAGGGCATGGATGACAAAGCTCATTTTGCAGTAGTGATGTGCTGTTGTCTTAGATATTAGGGAAGAATGGGCTGCCCAGGGCAGTGGTGGAGCCACTATCCCTGGAAGTGTTCAGGAAATAAGCAGATGTGGCACTTGGTGATGTGGTTCAGTGACCATGGTGGGATTCAGTCGAAGGTTGGACTTGGAAGGTGACCTTGGAAGGCTTTTCCGACCTTAATGATTCCATGATTCAGCCCAAATTTTGCCTGCTTTCTATTTTCTCTATCAGTTTTGATTTTCCTCTTTGCCATGTCCCACCTTTGGCTTCCCTTTGTAGGCTATTTATGATGAATTTTATTTTGGCTGGACTTCTTGGCTGGAAAGTTTAATTCTTTTATCCCTCTTTTTCCCCAAGACTTTCCATATTTTTTATATCTGCCTTATTGTGTTTACTAGCAACATTCCTAAATGTCTGGAGGCAGATTTAATGAAGATGGAAAGTTTGAGGATTGGCTTCTTGGCTGCACCTCTGTGACCATCCATACCTGGAGTGGGACCACTGCCAGGTCAGCTGGGGCAGCACATCCTTCCCTCAGCCTTGGAAAACACAGTTCACTTGGGATCCTGGAATACCTGTGGTCCTGGCCCGGGCTTATGTCTCCCATGTAGAATTCCTGTGCTTCCAGCCTCTCCAGGTATTCCTGTTCTAAACAACCTTTGTGTTGGTGCTTGAATTTCAATGGATCCTGGGCAGTTTTATCCCTCCCTCCTCTTTCCATCACTCCTTTCTCCATCAGCCAAGCAGAGGCTGCCCCCTTATCCCAGCCACCCCCACCCTGCAGACACAAAAGCTAAACAGAATCATGGCTGCTTAAAATTTTGCATCCTGTTGTGATTTTCCTGGAATTTTTTCCTTGATGTCCACCTCAGCTGCTTCTCCTGCATGGAAGTGGAAGGACTGAGTAGTACTGGAAAAGAGCTGACACTGGGTGTGTAGTAGAGAGTTTTTAATGAATTTAAAAAATTAAAATATTTGGAGGCTCTCTTGACTCCCAAAAGCAAGATGAACCTTGCCAAGCATTTGGAAAAGCTGCTCCTGGTTGTCTCGGGAATGTTTTTGCCAACCACTCCAAATTGCAGAGCATTAATGTGAGAAAATCAGATTAACAATCATTAATTTTGATAAGAACTTGATTATATTTCATCTTTGAGTGGTGAACAACAAGGAAAAGTGAACAACTGTAGGTTTAAGGATGTCGTGTCCGGACCTGGAGTGTCCTGTCATGGATTTAATGGGTTAAAAATGTCTTTGTGTGTTTACGTTTCTTAATTTTATCTTTTTATTTCAAAACCATCCTGCAAAGTTTTATAAAATGCTGATTATTTCCTAAAGGAACAGTTAACCACCCAAAGCTAATCTATATTTAGTAGATAGGGAGCTGTCATTGTGTTCTTACAATGTGTATTATAGAAGATGCCTGTGCATGAGCAAGACATAATTCCCAACTCTTTAGTGTATCCAAGGTTTACACAGGGAAAAAGAACTCCTTTCTGTACAGTAAGTAACAGCCTGCAAAATTTAGTCCAAAACCTGTCCTTTTTTTAGTCTTAGAAATACGAAGACCTGTTGGAAGCTTGTAGATTTTTACTCTGTCCTGTTCGGCCCACAGCGAATTTACACAACTGTGCTACCAATCCCTGAAAAATGAGATTCCCAGTGGAATTGCTGTCACAGCCTTAACTTTAGTGTTAGAAAAATGGTGCTGAAATACATTGAAGTGAAGTGGGTGCAGGTCCCTGAGAGGAGTTTGTGAGACTTCCAAGTGAAAGCGAGCGCTTGGAGTTACTACTCCTGATAGTAACTGGAGCCACACTGGGGAACTGGGAAGCGTGTAAATATTTGGGGGATATTTCAACCAGTGGACAATTCGGAGCAGTTCCTCAGTTTTGGGGATTTAATTGGCAAGTGCTGTGGATCTTCCTGATTTTTAGGTCTGTGAGGTGTTGCTTGGGTGGGGGTGAAATCCTGCTGGAATATTCCCAGTAAAATCCAAATCCACCGTTTCTTTTCCTAAAATGCCTCCTGGCAGAGTGGTGGCTGCTCGGATGTGCTCAGAACTCAATGTCTGAGGATTATTTTTCTGTAGAAATACTAATTCAGGCTCTTCATTCCTCCATGAGTCATTAGAGCAGATTTCATGTAGAAATACTATGGAATTCACGTGATTTAGGCTCTCCAGGTCATCTTCTGGATTTAAAATACTCCAAAAATGCACAAAACTATTAGAATTATGTCTACTTTCTATATTAATTTTTTTTTCAGGTGATATTTATGCCCATATCTTCACATCTGCTATCTCAGGTCCCTTTAATGAATACTTCAGGGATTTTGATGCCACGTGTTGGCAGACCAAATGTAATATTTATATGCAATGAGCTGTTAGTTTTTTGTATTGTACAAATGTAAATTTGTAAAGATTTTTTTCTAGAGTTTTTTTGAAGTCACTGATGTAATCTAGGATGTTTCATTTTCCAGCTGTGGGATTGTCTTAATAAAAAAAAATAAAAAGAGAAACTCTTATTTTTGGGTTTGCATTGTTTCCTGAATAGTTGAGATGTTAAAAAGATACAAAAAAATTGGTGAAATTGAGTTTTTAATGTAAAAAGAAAATGGCTTTTTTATTCAACTGGATGATTTTATGCTTTTAAAAAGGATAAAGGATATATCCTTTTTAAAAGGATAAAATGGATATAGAAACTTTTAGAAAGTGGATATAGAAGCTTTTAAAAAGTGGGAAGATGTTGAGCAGGATGGGATGGAGACCCTCACCTTAGCCAGAGCTGAGTGTGGCAGCTCAGTGGGGATCTGTTACCCTAATCACCATCTGACCCGGCTCCAAAATACCATTTTTCTGGGAAAAAGGAGAGGAGCAAGTAATGATTTCTTGGAAGAAGAAGTGAAAAATGTCTTAAAATGCTGTGAAATGGCTAAAAATGCCATGAAATGAGCAGGTGAAGAGGAGGCTCCTGGACCAGCTCCCTTGGCCACTGTGGGACTGAGGTGGGTTCAGGGGGTGAGACTCAGCTCCAGGAGGTTTTACCTGTTTTTTAAGGGCTATTTCATGCAAAACAAGGAATCGCTCTTTTTTTCATCTCTGTTCTTGCCCTCTTGTTAAATAGCAGTGATAATATTGTTTAACCAGGGATTCTTGGGGGTGGGTGGGGCTGGGTTTATGTAGAACTGCCAGGGGGCTCCGGGCTCGGCCAGGGCAGGCGCTGACACTAAATACAGTGAATAAACTCGGGAAGAATTTCCTCCTGGAAAGGGTGGTCAGGCATTGGAAGGGGCTGCGCAGGGAGGTGGTAGAGTCCCCATCCCTGGTGGTGCCCAAGGACGTGGCACTCAGTGCTCTGGGCTGGGTGACAAGGTGGGGATCGAGCACGGACTATACTTGATGATCTCAGAGGTCTTTTCCACCCTCAGTGTTTCTGTGAGTCTGTTTTGGCTTTTCTCCTTAATCCTGTGACTTATTTGACATTTCACTTTATTGCACTGATTCCAGTGGCATTTCCTCTCTGATGGGAATGAATATCTGCTTTTTAACACAACACTCATCCTCCAAGCCCCAGGAACAAAAGGGCTTTTTTTTTTTTTATTTCTTGGCCATGTTGGTTACAGAGAACAAAATTAAACTTGTTTTGTAGAGATACTGGAGCCCCCTCACTGTGTACATCCATCAGATGGCATTGGAGGGAAGGAATTCTGCTCCCTTCAGAGCTGCTTCACCTTTGCCAAATGCCCCTTTGCTGTCCCTCTGTAAATATTATGTTGATATCATATCATAGCTGTTACATACTTTATATCATCCTGTTTAGGTCATATGTGGTAATACATGTTATAAAAGACATGATATAAAATACCAGAGTGGTAGAGAACAATTCAATTATTCTTCCTGTGCACTTTAGAAATGCATTTTATAGCAGTGTTTTTATTGATAATTTTTATAGATTTAGTTTTGATTTTTATACATTTCAGCAGCACATGGACTAAAACCTGCTCTTCCCTGAATATACAGCACAGCTGGTCAACCCAGTGCTCATTTCCAGCCTGGAAAACCTTAAAGCACCTTTTTCCATCCACCATTACAATGCTTCAAACACTGCCATCAGTGGTCCCATGGAACCTTCCTGACCCGTGCAGGAGGGGGAGGCCAAGCTTTGCCTCCATCCCACCTTTCCAGTTCTCAACAGGCACTGGAGTGGGATGATTTGAGTGCAAGAAGCATTTGGACAATTTTCTCAGGCACATGGTGTGACCCTTGGGGTGTCCTGTGCAGGGCTAAGGATGGGATTTGATGATCCTCATGCATCCCTTCCAACCCAGCATATTCTGTGTGGTCCTGTGTCAGTTGCCCTTCAGCTGTAACATCCTCACTGGGAGCAGGTTTTTGGGGTACTTTGTGAGGTCGGAGGTGTGAAGGCATTTCAGGAGCTGGGTGGGTGTCCTCCTCACCTACCCCCAGATAGTACTTCTGTGTGTCTTTGTTTCTGAGTGAACAAAAGTATCTTTGTGTGAGACCTCGGTGGGTGAGGTGCTGAGGCAGCAGAGCCTGTCCTGTGACGCAGGTGCCAGCAGTGCTGGCAGCACTCCCTCTCCAGGCCTTCCCACCACTCGGCTTCTTGGACAAACCTGTCCTGCCTTGAGCTGACGCAGGATACCTTCCCTCCTCCATCAATATTTGCTTGGGTGCCGGGAGGGAAAGGCTCGAACGGCTCCTGTTGCCGCAGGAGCTCTGGCTCCTCACGCCTCCCCTGCCAGGCCCCTGTGGACCATGAGGGACCGTCTGGCGGAGCTGCGGCAGCGCGTGGCGGCCGAGGGGGACCCGCACGAGGACACCCTGGGCTTTGACAACCCGGCACTGGCCGGGGATGATGCCAGCCCCGTGGGGCGGGTGCTGCAGGAGGCGGCCGAGCTGTGGCGGGCACTGGACCAACTGGAGCAGCTCTCGGAGACCATCGACAGGACGCAGCAGACGGTGCTGTGCTGCACCTCGGAGCAGAGCATGGCCCAGGAGAAGCGGGGCCTGGGCGCTGCCCGAGCCGCCTTTGCCCGCCAGGCCGCGGCCCTGCAGCCCCGGCTGGGCGCTCTGCCCATGGGCCCGGCGGGGGGCTCGGGGCGAGCGGGGCCCCGCGTGCGCCAGACGCAGCTCTGGCTGCTGGTGAGGAGGTTTGGCGCTGTCCTCGCCCGCCACTACGCCCGGGAGAGCCGCTACCGCCAGCGCCTCAAGGAGCAGATCCAGAGGCAGGCGGAGCTGGCGGGCATCGCCCTGGGCGCTCAGGACGTGGAGCAGTTGGCTGAGAGCCCTGCGGGGCCGCGCATCGTCGGCCAGGACCTGGAGGAGCTCAAGGCCAAGCACCACCTCAGCGTGGCCCAGGCGCGCCAGCGGCAGCTCCTGGAGCTGGAGGCGCAGATGGCGGAGCTGTGGGGGCTGTTCCTGCAGCTGGAGGGGCTGCTGGCCCAGCAGCACGGGGCGGCCGACAGCGTGGAGCAGCACGTGCTGCGCTCCCTCGACTGCGCCGCACAGGCCGAGGTGAAGAGGGCCCGGCGGTACCAGCGCCCGTCCCGGCTCTCGACCCTGCTCAGCGCGGCCCTCGGGCTCTGCAGCTGCTGCCCCTGCCTGCCTGGCCCTCGGGGCCTCCGCTGACCTGGGCCTGCACCAGGGGTGCAGCGGCTCTCGGGGATGTGCCCCGCTCTGGGCAAGGAAGGCTGGCACAGGAGGCTGCTGCTGTCTTGTGCTTCTTGCACGGTGCTGCAGGGGCCAGGCACACCCTGTGTGATGGTGCAAGGACCATGGGCACCTTGTTTAACGGTGTAAGGACAATATGCACCTCGCAAGGTGGCACAGGGACCGTGCACACCTTGCTTGATGATGCAAGAACCACGCATGGCTTGTTTGATGATGCAAGGACTATACACACCCTACTTGATGATCTAAGGACCGTGCACACCTGGCACGGCACCACAGGGACTGGGAACATCTTGCACGGTGGCACAGGGACCACCCACACCTTTCTGATGGTACAGGGATCATGCACACGTTACCTGGCAACACAGGGACCAGGAACACCTTGGACAGTGATGGAAGGACCATGTATGATCATGCAAGGACCAGGCACACCTTGTAAAATTGTGTAAGGACAATGCCCACCTTGCTCAATGGCACAGCTTGCGTGGTGGTGCAGGGACCCAAAGCTAAAGAAAAGCAGAAAGGGAATGACCTCTTGGTATGTTCATTGAATTAAATTCTTAGGAATCAAGAAAACTTAATTTTTAGGCTGATGAATGCATTTCTTTTCCATATATGGATATTTTCAGGAAGCCCCTCAGCACCAGGAATGTGAATCCCTGCAAGGGCAGTGGTTCCTGGGGATCCAGGTTGAGCAGTCTCTGCTCCTGCCCTCTTCCTCCTTCTTTGTTTTTCATTTGTGATGTCTAAATGAATATTACTTTTTCATTCAAACCTTGATGAATAGAAGTTACCTCTTTATTTAATTTTCATTTAAAAACCCCCACAACTTTCCAGGTCATTGGAAACACCCTCTGCATCCTGCATCAAAACCCACATTTAATGTGTGGCTGCAAAAGCCTCCTGGGAAGCACTGGAGCTTTTCACAGACTCCCAGGACATGGAGAGAAGGGAAATAACCCTCAGCAAGGTCAGGAGGTGGCAAATCCAAGTGCAGTAAAACATATTTAACCACCTTTCATGCACCACGCTCACAACTCCCTGCACAAACAACTCCCTGGAGCCTTGGGTGGCTGGGCAGAGTCTGACCCACCTGGTTGAGCTGCTCCAGAGGGGATTATCCATAAAGCACAGGGAAAAAACCTTGTGCTCCCCTCAGTGCTTCCTACCAGGAAGTATTTGCAGGGGATTTCGTGGAGCACAACTCCTCCAGAGCCCAGCACGGAGCGACTGCAGCAGCCAGTGGTGTTTTCCTGGTTATTTAACAGGAAAATAACCCTAATTTGTGTTACAAGGACCCCTGAGGAGTTAAAGAAGGAGGAGAAGATTAGAAACTTTACACCTCAGAGTAGATCTTCCCACCAATGGCTTCAGCAGTTTATATAACTTTATTCATCTATTTTTCTACTTCTTGGTGTCCTTCCACTAGATATTGGCCTCAGACAGAACCTAATTACTGCATGCAAAATAATTAATAATATTGTAATGCGGGCATGAACACTCAAAAGGATGGAGAAGATTCCTTTCTCTTCCCAGTGAAGACTGGGACTTCATCTAAAACACATTTGCTTTATGAGTATTCCTGGATATGATGAAGGTGGAGGACCTTCTAAGACTGTTCTAAGGGCTGTTTTAATTATGTCCCAAATGAGCATCAGAAATGTAAGAGGTTCACATTTAAGGGGGAAAAAAAAGAAAAAGGCAAAGTTAAAAATCCAGCTGCACACAGGCCACAGCTCTGCTCTGTGCTGACACAAGAGGCACTAAAACAGGAATTTGTAGTAAAATGCATTAAAAGGAGCCGGATTAAAAGCCCAAAGCCTTTGTAACTGTG